GTTGTGTACAGTTTCCTAAATTAATTCTATCACCAATCTGGCCTAAGTGGTGAGTGTATCTTCACCTACTCATTCCCAAGCCCTTCCTGTGGTTTCTGGAAGCCTCCTTCAGTCCCACCAGGCCCAGAGGATGAGGGCACGCTGACCTGGTTTGCAGCATTTGGAGATGACCTCCTAACTCTGACAAGTTCAGTTTACCAGACTTCTGACTACAGGCAACAAAGCATGTTAGGTCAGGGGCCCTGGACAGAGCTGAGCTCCATTCCAGCTTCTACTCCTTTTTACTTGTGTATCTTAAGGACAATAATTAACTTCTCTGCCTCACCTATTTATATTTTTTTATTTTTTTTATTTGCTTATGATAGTCACAGAGAGAGAGAGAGAGAGAGGCGCAGAGACACAGGCAGAGGGAGAAGTAGGCTCCATGCACCGGGAGCCCGATGTGGGATTCGATCCCGGGTCTCCAGGATCGCGCCCTGGGCCAAAGGCAGGCGCCAAACTGCTGCGCCACCCAGGGATCCCTCTGCCTCACCTATTTAAATCAGGATACGAATTCTCCTTCATGGGTTATAGGAACAACTCAAAGGTGTGTAAATCCAGGAGTCTATAAGTGCTCAGTAGAGGGTAACTTTTGAGGCCATTATTGATCTCGGCCTTCTGCTGTGCACTGGAGATACAGAGCTGAGTCCTGCCCTCAGGCTTGCTGTCTTGCGGAAAAGACAGGCCCCATGGGCCAATTAATTAAGTGCGGAATAAGACCTGCTTCAATGACACCTGGACCAGGTAAAGGGGTGGCTCTGGGAGGGGAAGGGGCTCAGCCTGGTTGGGGGCATGTTGAGGCAACTTTCTGGACATCTTGATCAAAGCCGTGGGTGGAGCTGCAACTTTGGTTAATCCAGAGCCACCGCTTGAATGGCCAAGATTTCATCAAGGGATGCCAACTAATCTGCTACCTGGACTCTTTGCTCTTTAGTCTGACTTTGGAACCAAAAAAACCTTTCTATGAAAATCAAAGAGCCTTCGAGTCCAAAATATTCTGGTTCTAAGCATCCTAAGTTAATAGCTTAAAAGCTGATTAGAGTTCTGGAAACCGGAGGCGACGGTGAAGAGAGAAGTTAAGTGCCTACTGTGTGCATGAGGGAAGTGAATTAATATTCACCTAGGAATTGATATTTTCATGGGCCTGATATATGTCAGTGCCTGCCAGGTACTATTACCTCATTTAATCCTCAGAGTAGCCCCGTGGAGGTTTTTTTTTGTCCTTCTTTTACAGATAAGAAAACTAAGACTCGAAGTGTTTAAGATGTGTGAACAGGGTTGCGGTTAAGTGGTAGAGTCAGGATTAAAACCCAAGTTTGTCTGATTCCGAACCTCATGCTCTTTCTACCGTTTCAGACAATTTCTGGAGTGGAAATTCACACAGGGCCCAGCTCCTTCCTTTCCCAATAAACATGGCATTTATATATGTCATTGATGGTTTTCTAAATTAATGCTTTTGCCCACATGGCCAAAATGGCATGTGCACATAAGCGTAAACATGAGAGGTGCCCTCAAGTACAAGAACCGTTCAACATATCAATCACAGATTGATTACACTAGTGACCCTGATCACTGGCCTCCTTGTAACCACAGTTTTTGCAATGTGACTTTGCAGCTCCTCCCATTAAGGGGTAAAATCTGTTTTCCATCCCTTAAGTCTGGGCTGCCCTTGCATTGTCTATATGGTGGAATGATGAGAGCCAGCTCCAGGTCTAGGCCGGGGGAAGCCTTGTGGGCAACTACCATCACTTGCATCCCCGTCAAGCCTAGATTAGACAGCTGGGGGCATGTGAGGGACACATAGAAAGAGAGCCCTCCCCGCCCCCATCTTCCCAGCCATCCCAGGTGAACCATCACAGATTCTAGCTGACTTGTTTGTGAACACAGACACACATGTGAGTACAATCATGCCCAGCTGAGTTCTGCCTGGATCCGCGGCAGCACCCCCAGTCAAGGGGCAAACTCCTGAGAAATAATAAATGTTTGTTGTTTTAAGTTCCTGCATTTTCGGAGTAGTTTTTAAGGCACCAACAGCTAACTGCTAGAACCAAAAATGTCATTTTCTTCTTCATTAGAGGTCAATTCATTTATTGTCAATACTTCAGTTTGGACGGGCTGTGCCCTAGAGCTGCTGTGCGGCTACCGTTGCGGGATCTCCCTGTTTCATCATTACAGGAATTCCCTCTATTTTGCTTTCTGAATCTCATGCCTTCCTCCTTCTGGGTAACTCCCTTGTTTTGATGGAGTACATCCTGTGAGAGTTGCCTAAAAATGGGTGGGTAGGTTTGGAGACAATACATATTTGGAACACGTTCATGCTACCCTTTCTCTTAAGTTGTGGGTTAGCCCAAGTTGAGTTCTATCTGGGAAATATTTCTCTCAGAATTTTGAGGGTACTGTTTCATGGTCTTCTGTGTGGCTGTTGAGGTGTCTGGTTCTATTCTGATTCTTAATCCTCTGTATTATCAATCTTCCCTCTCCAGAAGCTTATCAAGTAGTCTCTTTGCCTCAATTGTGATGCATTTTTAAGATGATGCGCTTTAGTGTGGGTCTGTTTTCATCCATTGTGGTGGGCATTCACTTGGTCCTTTTAATCTAAATATTCATATTCTTCAACTCTGGGAAACCTTGTTGATTTATTCTTGAATGAATCCTTTCTCTTAATTTCCTGTTTTTTTTTTCTTTCTGAAACTTCTATTATTCACATGCTAGATTTTTTAGAGTGGTTCCCTATTTACATTTTTTCTCCTCTGTTTCCTTTGCTTATTTTTTGCTCTCTTTTCTGGGATATTTCTTCAACACCATGTTCCAAATCTTCTACTGAGTATATTTTTTAATTTGTGCTTTTTGAGTTTAAAGAGCTCCTCTTTTGTAGGTGTTCCCTCAGTGTTCCTTTATATGCTAGTGTTGCGTTCTTGTTTCATTGATACACTATCTCCTCTTACTTAAGGAGGTTAGTAATGACGTTTTTTCTTAAATGTTTTCTTTTTTTTTTTTTGTATAAATTAATTTTTATTGGTGTTCATTTACAACATACTGATAACACCAGTGCTCATCCCGGTCAAGTGTACCCCTCCGTTGCCCGTCACCCATTCACCCCAAACCCACGCACTCCTCCCCTTCCACCACCCTAGTTCATTTCCCAGAGTTAGAAGTCTTTTTGTTCTGTGTCCCTTTTGATATCTCCCACACATTTCTTTCCCTTATATTCCCCTTCACTATTATTCATATTTCCCCAAATGATGTGAGAAACATACACTGTTTTGTCCTTTCCGATTGATTATTTCACTCAGCATAATACCCTCCAGTTCCATCACGTGAAGAATATGGTGGGTTTTTGTTGTTTCTAATGGCTGAGTAAATTCCTTGGATACATAAACCTCATCTTCTTTATCCATTCATCTTTCGTTGGGCACCGAGGCTCCTTCCTCAGTTTGGTATTGGTGGACATGGCTGATAGAAACATCGGGGTGCAGTGCCCGGCGTCTTCATTGCATCTGAATCTTGGGGGTAAATCTAACAGTGCAATTGCTGGGTCGTTAGGGCAGGGGTCTATTTTTAATTTCTTTGAGGAACCTCCACTACAGTTTTCAGACGTGGGCTGCACCAGTTCACATTCCACAAACAGTGTAAGTGGTTTCCCTTTTCTCCGCATCCTCTCCAACATTTGTGGGTTCCTGCTGTTAAATTTTCTCCATTTCACTGGTGTGAGGGTGGTATCTCAGTGTGTTTTTGATGTGTATTCCCTGTGGCAAGTGATGCAGAGCATTTTCTCATGTGCTGTTGGCCTTGTCCTATGTCTTCCTTGTGAGATTTCTACTTCATGTCTCGGCCTTTTGGCTAAGATCAAGTGTTAGTATCTGTTCTTATCAGTTTAAAGGTTTTCTTTTCTGTGAATCATCTCTACTTCTGATGTGTAAGAGGGAGGCCCCAGATGCTATGAGTCCTATGTGCCTGGCAGGGCTTGAGATGTGATCATCACTGAGCCATTTCCTTAGGGGAGGATCTCTCATGTTAGTATCTTTAGAGTTTTCTTTGAAGCTTATCAAATTCCCCAGAAAGATTGGTCTTCTGTCTGATGGGTACTTGCTTGGTGCTGGCATTCTAGAAGCCAAGCTGGGGGAAAGGCAGGGGAGTCTCAGCATTCCTTATGTATGCTTTACTTCTTAGCATGGTATTTCTAATGTCAACTGGATATGCCTTGTTGCCCCTCCGAGACTGTTTTGCCGTCTCTAGAGAGTGGGCTACTGGTCATTGGTTGGGATTGGAAAACAACAGTCACTCAGCTACTTGGAGTGAGGAGGGAGATTTGGAGTTCTAACTGCATCTTAAGTAGACTTCAAAGCCATCCTCCTAATTTTAGCCCCATCTTCTCTAGCACATTCCAATGGTAGCTAATGCTGCCAATTTCTGAGCCTTTGGTGGGGGTTCTGCTTCACCAATGCGGTTGTGTCTCAACTTCCCCACTGCTGGCTTAGGATTCAGCTTCCTCAGATTCGCTCGGTTACCAATGAACCGTCACTTTCCAGCTTCAAATTTTTGTTCCTATTGCCTCTTCTGCCATTCTCTTTGATCCCCCTGGTTTACACCTTTTTTGGAATATCTCTTTATTGTCTTTTCATAGGCCTGCATGAGAGAATGGAGGTGAGTATGTTCCCTCTTCTCTCTTTACCTGGAAATCCAGGAGTAGCTCTTGGCTTTTAAAGAACTAACACTTCAAGATATCTTATTTAGTTTAGGCCACATGGACCACATGTTTACCATAGAAAATTAAACTTTCTCCCAAAGAAGACCCTCAAGTGGTAGAAGTCTATGTGATTTCTCTTTTTAGAAAAAAATGAGTTCAAGCCCTCAGTCACTTCACAAACTTACCCTTGTGGTTCCAAATTACCCAGACAGCCAGACAATCACAGTGGTACCCCTCCCAGACTTCCATTTCCTTTAAATCAGAGACTCCTGAGTCCGTTTGCTTTAACCTTTTAATAGTAGCCTTTTGGTATTTTCCTATAAGTGCTTTCAACTGGGCAATATACATATCATGCTTTCCTCATTATTACTGGTCCATCAATAAATATACAAAAAATCAGAGGAAGGGTGTCCTGTGAAAAATTGAAGTAAAAATGGTCACTATACATGCATGAACAATGAGCTATTCTCTGAAAACTCAACACAAGTGATTTATAGAAAGGCATACCTATTACATAAAGGCAAATGGGCCACGTTATTCTTCTACTTAAGTACACTTGACATTTCTAGAGAAGTCAGAGATTCCTTTCTCACACTCCTCTGCTGTACCAGTATTGAATGAACATTGGCTATGGAATCAGTTCTTGGTATCACGGTCTCAATATAAAACTTTGAGAGGTTCTGCTGGAAAAATCCATTCTGCCAGGCTAGAATCTATGAAATATGGATAGGAAGGTGTCTCTTGCCCCCTTTTATTTTCACCCAATGCTAATTTAAAGGCAGCCCTCAGGAGACACAAAAGATTTACAATTGTAGGAAAAATTACACCTTAAGCTCTTGGCTTAATGGAATTACACCGTTATTTCAAATGGGAGAGAATACATTTTATTCCATGAACTTTGGACAATATTATAGGGGTATTACATCCAAGGGATGGAAGCTCTGGGCCTCTCCCATTGCTATTGGAGAACACAGAGGTATATCCAAGTGAGAGACTACAACAATAATAAAAGGAAAGATCATATTAAATTCTAAAATAAAACAGAAAACAATCACCTATCTCAGCCTATTTATTGGAAATGTCTAGAAGAGGAAAACCATCCCTAGCTGTGAGATTTGTAAGACTATCCATGACCCCAAAGAGAATCTGGGGACAGATAGAGCCTAGCATAGCCCTCCTGAACCTGATCCGGGAGTGGCTAAAGAGCTGGAGTGAGCGTGTCAGCAGCAGACCCAGGAAAGCTCTTGGAAAGCAGGAAGCACCTGGACACTAGTGGCTGTAAAACAGAGTGGCTATATGTCCATTTCTTTTTTTCAACTTGAAAATAAAAAGAAAACCAGACAGCTGGATATGGCACTGGCCAGTGAAGTTCACAGAAGAGAAGGAAATTTTCAAAGATCATGATTGGGAGGAGGTTATGAGGGTGGATAGGGGAGAACAGAAGTTGGAAATGAGTGCAGAAAGTGGGCATCTCTTTTAAAAACAGATCCTTCATAATTACCCCATGTATAAGCCCAGCCCTATGTGGGACCTATTTTCTTCTTTTCCTCCTCCTCCCCCTACCTCCTCTTTCCTCTTTTTCTTTTCCTCCTCCTTCTCCTCCCTTCTTCTCTCTCTCTAGTCCTAGCAACATCAGCAGTTAAAGCTATCGGTTTAGGCAACAGATGACTTTTTACGGGGGCATAAGGAAGGAGGGCTCGTTTTAGAGGAGTCCTTACTTTATAGATTCATTTTCTTCTATTACAAATCATCTTTGGGAGTTCCAGGACCAATGGGACTTCTGAACTTATAAGTAAAATCTTAGGACTTGCCAAGCAAGGGATAAAGCTATTATTCTCTTATTTGTTCATAAACCTGCCTATCTGGTGCTAAGATTCCAATGGTGGGGAAGGCCTGTAACCTTCTGAGGGACTTCCCAGGCACTTCACCTATTCAGAGTAACAACTGCACGGGGAACAGACAGCTGGCTTGTAAATGTATAAACAAATACAGCCATAAAAATACTCAAACAGGATCTACACAGCCTCCTCTCTTCCCCAACCTGTGGCAATCAGTTGGCTACTATCTATGCTCTCTTTCATCTCCATTGGCTTTTCTTTTTATTACAAGAGCTCAAAAGGTACTTTCATATTGTTTTTGGACATCATTTCACAGGGTCAGCATCTATGAACTGGTATCTATCTGTGCCACGAAAGGATAGGTCATGCAATGTAATGTGACTTTTCCCAGCCTTTCAGGGCAGAGCACTGGTGGCCATTAACACATAAAAGCAGTTGAGGCTCTTCCCCTTGCAATTCTGGTGCTAGGACAGGAGAAAGTCTTTGGAGCCCCAGAGATAAAATAGCACTGTCTTCCTTGATTTTCTTTGAGATTTGGTTGAGTGAGCCTGAATGGGGGCTTAGTGGCTCTGAGATGAAGACTTTCAAGGAGGACCTTCTCACAACTTCCTGATGAGTTTCTGGGGACCAGACCTTGCTGAAGGATCACAGCACAAAGGGTTAAGTTGGAAAAAGTACAGATGTTTATTATGAATCAGCTTAAACCCTTTATGCCTCTGACAAAGTAACCAAAAAAAAAATCATATCGATCAAAGGACCTCCAGGGTTTAATATTTCAAAAAAACAGATAAATAGCATCCTACAGATAAATAGCTTCACCTTTTGGGTATTTCCCAGAAGCATCTGAAAAATTTCCAGATGGTCTGTAGAAGTGGATGTGTAACCAGTACATTCCGACTCCCTACCCCACTGGAAAGAAATGCCCAGGGATTGGGCTGCAGGAGGGGCAGGGGGCATGTGGTACCATTCAAATATCCTCCCAAGGGACCAATCCCTTTTAGCCCTGGGGGATGTTCTTAGCAGGTGGTTGTTGCCTGAGAGGGGGAAGGGAGGGAAGGTGGGGGATCAAGAAGATGTATATGTGCCTTCTGTTAGAAGCTGTCCATAGCACATCCTAGGGGGTGGAGGCTTTTAGATGGGAACTGGAACAGTCGAATTCTTGTGGATTATCCATTGGGCCCTCATTTCAGAAAGCAATGCTGTTTTTATAAATTGGACCTGACTTTAAAAAACAAAACGCAAAACAAAAAAACAAAAAAAGGAGTAGAAAACGTTATACTAAAAAAAGATCCCCAATAATGAAACAATCAGTAGCACATTGCATCTGTGAAGTGTCCCAGCTCCTTGCCATGATTCTGTCTCCAACTGCCATTTCTCTCCAAGGTCACCAAGTGTGGGAGTTACACCCCAATCTTCATGTCCACGTTCTGCAGGTTCCGTGTCTCGTCGGCTGTCGTATACTGATCGGGGGTCTCTGAGGGTTCCTTGTTTACCAAGTGCACCATCTCCTGAGACTTGCTGGCCTCTCCGTTGATCCCACTTGGCTTCCTGTCCCCCACTGCTCCATTGCCATTGTTGATCACAAGCTTTTTCTTCTGCCCACACCTAATGATTCAAAAAAAGTCACATGAGAAGGTGCCCTGATAACTCGAACCATCATCACTGTTGTCACCACCATCAGCATCATCACGACAGTGTTTTCTTCTTTTTTTTTAAGATTTTATTTATTCATGAGAGACACAGGGGGAGACAGAGAGAGAGAGAGAGAGAGAGAGAGAGAGAGAGAGAGGAGAGAGAGAGGCAGAGACACAGGCAGAGGGAGAAGCAGGCTCCATGCAGGGAGCCTGACACGGGACTCGATCCCGGGACCCCAGGATCACGCCCTGAGCCGAAGGCAGATGCTCAACCGCTGAGCCACCAGGGGCCCCATCAGGGACATTCTCCATGGCCAGCCTGAGCACGTTTCACCTGACTGACAGTAACTCATCCGTGCTTCTCAGAGTGTGTCCCTGAACCAGCAACAGAAGCATCACCGGTGAACTTATTAGAAATGCACACTTCTCAGCCTGACCCCACACGTACTAAGGCGGAGAAGCCTAGAAGTGGGTTTAATATCTGTCGTTTGAATAAGCCCCCAAGGGGTTTCGGATGCACACCGGATTTGGGGAATCCGTGGTCACAACTCTTGGAAGCCAGGGCTAGTACTGTCCCCCTATGGCCGGTGAAGAGACCCTTATGCTCCAAGAATTCAGTTATACCAGTTATTCAGCAAGCAATAAAAGAATTGGGATTCAAGCCCTTCCATGTCTGATTCCTAAGTTCTAGTTCTCCTTCCCCATCCTGTGCAATGGCAATGTTTGCCTTTTTTAGGCACATTAGCAGTTCCCGCAGACTTGGATAAACGACGAATATGATATGATGACTATAAATCATTCTGATCTGTGTAATTCAACCAAGCCCCATAACTTCCTCTCCCAGTCGACCCTTTGTGGCCTTATCGGGGTTATTATGGATGGCTTGAGAAAAAGGAAACCCTAGTCACATTATTCTAGAAGAGTGGGGCCATACTGATTTTCATAGGCTAACACTGGGTAATTCACATAGACGGGGGGGTTTCACTCCCTAAGGAAAGGCATTTGCCGTGCCACAAGGCTTCTCAGGACCCTGCTCAAGGTGCACACGCAGAAGGTCTCCTATGGAAGCCCATGACCTTGATCGCGTCCCCAGGTCTTAGTGCTGTTGGGGCATTGCCTCATCCCCCACCCCCAGCCTGTTGCAACGTTTCCTCTATCCTGTCACATGGGCACGGCCACACGTCTAGAAGTCAGATGGAAGCCAAGCTGCAGAGCCTCATGGCAGCGAGTAAGGTGGGGACGAGGGGAAATAGGCTGGCATTTACTGGACACCTCCCCAATGCCAGACACTTTAAATACAACTTCATGAAAGCCTCACAATAATCCCATGATGCAGCTGTTACTCTAGTTACACAGTAGTGGAAACTGAGGTCCAGGAATGTTTAATAAGTAGCTTGAGGTCACAGAGCTAGGAAGACGGAGTTAATATTCAAATCTCCGCCTCTCTGAGCAGATGCCAGGACTCTGCCCAGCTCTATTCACGCTGCCAACCATCTGGAGATCTGGAAACAGCATGAAGTCGGAATCGTTCGCTTTGCCGCTGGATATTTGGACTCGGAGAGACAAAGACTCTATTATTCATGATTAGGGGCCATTCCCTCTAGAACTGCCAAGGCCATAAACTTTAATCTCTTATTTGGGGAAACAGAAATTATACCTCCTCGACAGGAGGTAGATCCTGTCTCCTCTGGCATGATGCTCGATGAAGGGTGGAGGGAAGGCTGCTTGACCTCTGGGGCACATCTGCGGGGCTGGGACTATGGGCACAGTCCGTGCAGAGTAGGGGCTGGGAAGGCTTGGTTTTGAGGCCTTATTGCTGTGGGGCCTGGACCAACTCATTTGACCTCTCTGGCTCTCAGTTTTCTTATCCATAATATGGGGCCAGGAAGAGCACCAACCTCACAGGATTGTGGGATGCCTTGAAACAAAGCCCAGCACTGATATGGGAGTCTATTATTGTTATTAGTTCTCTTACTAAATGGGGTGGGGAAGCCAAGGCCTTGGAGGAGCACTTGGGACAGAATCTGGAACGCAGTAAATGTTCAAAAAGCGTGTAGTTGTTCATAGAACCAGAGCCATATGAGTTTGGCTTTTGCTGGTTTGCCCTGGCTGCCTCCACGCAGTAGTTATATTTACCATGAAGATGGCCCAGGAGGCCGAAGGTGGAAGTCTGCTCGTTTTATTTCAAATTCTCAAACGGTATCTCAGGTGTTCTTTGGAGGGAAAATATCTTATTAAAGCAATTCCCATTTGCTGACCCAATGGGTAGTTTAGAAGTCGAATGACATATTGTAGAAAAGACACTAACAATCATAAAAAAAATGGTGCCCGGGTGGGTGGGGTGGGGAATTCGTGCTCTTTAGGCTCAACAGAGCTGATTTGAAAAGTGGGTGACAGGGAACCTGCAGCGCTCAGAAATGCCCTGCTTGGGTTTGTCCTGCCCCCATTTCCCTTTGGATTCATGTGTTTCTGTTATCTGAGTTCCTTCAGGGGGAAAGGATGAATCTCACAAATAACCAGCCCAGTATGTGTTGCTCCTGGGCCTTAATGAGTCCTTTTATCTTTTAACTCACGACATCACCAGTTTATTACAAAAGGACATAACCCAGGAACAGCCAGATGGAAGAGATACACGGGGCGAGGTACGAGGAAGGGATGTGGAGCCCCCATGCCTCTCTGAGAGCACCATTCTCCCCGAATCTCCATGGGGTCACCACCTCAGATGCACTCATGAGTACTTTTAAAAGACAAGTTCTCATTTTTCCATTCTCCTTAGTTATAGGATTTTCAGAAAGAACACCAGAGCTGAGGGAACTTCAGACGTCGCCTAGCCAACCACTTCGTTATATAAAACAGAGACTGAGTCCAGGAAGTGAAAGGGATCGTCTGAGGCCGCGCGGCTGGTTAGGGCAATAAACGGGGTATCTGCAACTTAGACTCTCTGACTCCAAAGGTCAGAGATCTCTACCAAACTGCATCCCCTCTTCACCCCTTGTCTCCTCAAATCTCAGGCATCCATCAGCCGAGCAGTAACCATGTGATGTGGGAGGGAGCCATCCTGGAGTCTCACCAGGAGAGGGTGGGCAGGCGGGGCGGGTGAGAAACCAGGTAACACACGTTCAGGGCATGGAGGAATTTATCTCGGAAAATTTGGGGGAGTAACTTAACAACCACTCTTTATGTCTCTTCTGCCTGACAATCCCTAAAGATCTTTAGAGAGATTTATGTTGCATTGGGTCAGAGATGTGCCACCCAACGCGGGAGCCACCGGCCCCAGGTGGCTATTGAAATGCAAGCCAGTGAAAACTGAACGAGGTTCAAAATTCACCTCTTCACTCAGACTCAGCCACATTTCAAGGGCTTAGGAGCCACAAGTGGTTAGTGGTTGTGTGCTGGTGCAGACGTAAAACCTTTCCATCATCGCCAAAAGTTCTATTGGACAGCTGTGTTCCAGAGGACGGAACAAGGCTGGCTGAAGACAGACTGCGATAAGCCTGGCTGATGCTTAGGAGAAGGAAGGCATTTCTAAACCATGGAGTTTTACAGAGGGGACCTGCAGAACAGGGGAGGGAATGAAGGCCCTCCAGGGTGCACAGAAAAGATGATTATTCCCATTCCCATTAAGCCCTGGTGAAAGCCTTTTCTGTACAACCAATATAGTGACATCCCTAAATCATTCCTGTCTTGTGAAACCTCCCCTCGTAAGGTCCTCACATTTTTTTTTCTCCTTTTCATATGAATCAGATCAATTCCTTAGGGGAAAGGCACCTCTTGGGCCTCATCCGATACCTACCAACTCAACTGACTCCTAAGACAACTGTCTGCTCTTAAGGAAATGGAAGGAAGTAGGATTTCCATTGGAAAGCTGACATTCAAGGACCCTGGTTATGAATAGCAAGGAAAGATGGTGTGGGGTATCCCAGGGATGGGAAAACCTAAAGAAATAGCAGGACTCCTAAATCAGCATCTTTACGATGCACAGCTCACCACTTTGTCCTGGAAACCTGTGGTCAGGCCTTGCACAGCATTTCAGTGGCTGCTTCTCCACTTTCACCTTTTTTTTTTTTTTAAGATTTTATTTATCTATTCATGAGAAACACACACAGACACACACACACACACACACAGAAAGAGAGAGAGAGAGGCAGAGGGAGAAGCAGGCTCCATGCAGGGAACCCAATGTGGGACTCGATCCCAGGAGCCCAGGATCATGCCCTGAGCCAAAGGTAGGCGCTAAACTGCTGAGCCACCCAGGGTGCCCCTGGTTTTGTTTTGTAAAATATTTTAGTTATTTATTTGAAAGAGAGAGAGAGAACACAAGTGGGGAGGAGCAGCAGAGGGAGAGAGAAGCAGACTCCCCACTGAGCAGGGAGCCTGAAGTGGGGCTCCATCCCAGATCCTGGGATCATGACCTGAGCTTAATCGACGGAGCCACCCAGGTGGCCCCCTCACCCACCCACTCTCATCTTCTAACCTAAGTTCCTATGCCAGTACCCGGCCCAGAGTATCTCGTCAATAAACATCGGCGGACTCCAATCCAACTGGTCAGTACTGCTGCTGCCCCTCCAGGTCCCTCTGGGCCGGGTTGGCACCCTTCCCATTTTTAATCTCTTCTCCCTCGCCCGCTGTGATCACAGGAGCTCACTGAAAAGAAGTTTGTTGAATAAATGGAAGTTGGCCATAGAGCCTCATTTTCCACCAAACTTTCTTTCATGAAAATAGGATGCTGGATCTTTCTAAAATGTCATGTTTGCAGCAGAAAAGGCCCCAGCCTTTCAAGAGGATTAGAAATGGGCTTGTGGCCTCGGAAACGCAGCAGGCGCCGAGAGGCCCGCGCCGCCCTTCGCCACCCCTCAGCTGCGTGGCAAATGTGTTTTCGATTATCAAACCAGCACGTGGTCACTCAGGGCGTTCGAGCAGCTACTCTCCTGGTGAGATCCTTGCTGTGTCGGATCTCGCGTGTCCCTATTTGCTTGTCGCTGGGGTGACCGCTGGTCTTGGGCTGAGGGTGTGCAGCCCTGGGCTGGCAGGGTGGGGGGCGACTGGGGTGGGGGGCTGAAAACCAGCCCCGCTGTGCAGACTCCAGCTGCTCTCGGGGACAGCTGAGATGCTTCCCGGAGGAATCGCCCCCATGGACGGCATCTGGGGCCAATGTTTCTATGACAACGTGTGCAAAACTTATGGACTGGATAGGTGAGCAGAAGGGGTGCAGTCTAGGCCCTGGAACAAAAGGACTCATTTCCAACAACTGGAAATCCATCTGTCATTGAGCAAAAGTAACCTAAGAGAAGACCAGAAGGCTGAGGGAAAGTATAAAGACTCTTTGTAAGGGCTCCCTCAAGCCACATTATCTAAATCGGCCAAACAAAAAGCTCTTTCCATTCCGTCACAGGAGCCTTCTAGGAGGTCTTTCAGATTTCTTTTCCTAGTTTTCATTCCTCATACAGTTGGCTATCATGAGTGATTTTTTATTATTCTCTCAGAGGTATAGATAGCAACAGCTATTTGACTTTGGTGTAGCCCTAACTTGCACCAGGATTAAGTGACACTATCTGAAGTCCTCGGATAATCAGAGATCCTGCAGATGCGTGACACATGGCCTGAGAATCAGCCGGTGATGTCCAAAAGCCAACAAGAAGGATTCTAGCATCTCTGGGTCCTCTCCCCAACCGAGGGGCCCCTTCTGGCCTGTTAGATGATCTAGTGATACAATAAAGGGAGCCCTACTTGGAAGTAGGATTCTTTTACCTTGTAGGAAGCAAGTTCCAGGGACATTTATAAAAGGTTGAATGTTCCTCTGCATATGCTCAGAGGAAAGCAGTGCACCTTTAGAGCATCTCGAACAGGAAACTTAGACTCACCCTTTGGAGTGCCCTGTCAAAATTCATGTCCTCAGTTGCTAGAATGAGGTTTTCTCTTATTTCACTTAGGTGGCGTTACATCTGGAGCCTGGTCACTGGCTCAGTCAGGCCCAGTACTATTTAAATAATTTCCAACATGACAGGCCTTGGTTGAGGTGAGGAGAGAGAGGGACCTCTGAGGATATGAAGACATCCCACGCCCGGTTGGACTGTCTTTAGTCAGACACTTCTAAGGAAAGTTCTTCATCATTTCATAGACCTTACTGTTGGGGAGCTCTTCCTAAGCAACAACCTGAATCCTTTCAACTACAGTTTCCAGAAAATATAAATTAGTATCATTGCAAAAACAAACAAACAAACAATAAAAAACCACAGATACCCAACACCTATTTCAGGTAAGCGTTCTAGAAGGTTCCATGGGCCACAGACAGGCTAAAGGAGATGACCAATGCCTAGATCTTTATATGGTGTTTTTGCACAGTGTGAATGCACTTACTAAATATTGTTTAATCAGTCAATGAAGGAGTGCATACTTTTGTGCCTTCCCAGTGATATATATATATTTTAAATATTTTATTTATTTCTGAGAGACACACAGAGAACAGCAGAGACACAAGCAGAGGGAGAAGCAGGCTCCCTGCAGGGGGGCCTGATGTGGGACTTGATCCCAGGACCCCAGAGTCACAACCTGAGCCAAAGGCAGATGCTCAACCACTGAGCCACCCAGGTGCCCCCCCATCCCCAGTGAGATATTTTATGACTTTCATCAGATAGCATCTCCATGGGTTTAACTCTGAAAAAATTAAGAACCTCCAAAGATTCAACACTATTTAAAAGTGATGGTCCAAATAATCACGTCTCTTTTATCTAAAGAAGGTGCCAGAGCAGGGCTTCTTAAACTGTACCATGCTCACAAGTCCCCGGGATCTCATCAAAACACAGACTCTGATATAAGATATCCAGGTAGGGCCTGAGATTCTGCATTTTTAACAAGTTCCCAGGGTGTTGGGGCTGCTGGTGCCAGGGCTGCACTCTGAGTAGCAGGTCCATGGAGCCCACATAGAAGTGACGTCCTCCCAAAGCGAAGGCCCCGAGCGCACCCCCTTACCTTCTTCGACTATTGACAGCGATGCAAACGGCAAGAATCAAAGCCAAGGCCAGGAGCGAGGCCAAGATGATGAGCCATTCTGGTGAGAGGGAACCAAAAGACACCTGTGAGCTTGGGAAATACACTTTGTAAAAACAGAAATGTACTTTATGTACCACAGATGGGTCTGGCCAAGTGGCCCTGCCGACAAGCAGAAAATGCTAGAACAACTCTGCTCTAGGTGTCTGCCCAACAGGCCTCTTGCTTTAAACTCTTATCACTAGTCAGGATTTTCAAGTTCCTCCAGGAGAAGCATGTCTCCAAAAAAGCGTGGAATGACCTGTAGAAACTTGTAACTGCCTTTGGCACAATATTATTCTAAAGGGAATTTATATTTCCCTCAAAAGGAACATGACTCTCCTATATAAGAGCACCCACCTTGTGTTTTATTAAGAAACTCAAATGGGGGCCATGCACAATGGGTGGGAAGAGGACACCCCCATGGAGGGCTGAACGTTTTGCTCTTTCAGCTGGGCGTGTGGGGGGTCATTTGGCAAAACTCCTTCGAAATGTGCATGCTTTTGATTCCCGCTTCTGGGAATTTGTTACAAAGACATTCATTGCCGCACTATTTATCATAGTAAAAGTTGGAAACAACCTCATACGGGAGGAAGGGATCAGTTCCACAAATTAGGGTACACCCACCCTATTCTGCACTGCGAGAGCAGGAGAAGAAGATCTACTGATGTTCGAAGCTGTGGGCAACCAGCTGGGAGGGGTGGTGGTTTCCTAAACAGCATGTGCGGCCTACTTCCATTTTTGTATGTAAGTTACATTTTAAAATGGTGGGAAGAAAAAAAAATAAAAATAAAAATAGATAAAATGGTGGGAAGGACACCTATGAAAATGGTAACCATGGCATTTTGGGACGGTGAGGCAGCTAATAAATGATTTACACTTTGGTCCTTTGGTTTGCATTCTCTCAAATGTCTCCAATTATCGTGTATCACTTGTGGGCTGCTGACATGTTAGACACAGGTTTTACAATCAAGCTGTAAGAGGATGAAAATGTGACTTGGCAATGTGGATGGATTCTCTTGCCAGCTGGGTTGTCTCTCTGTGCAATGAGCTGGAGCTCAAGCACCAAGAAGGATAGGGAGGCACGGATTGTCCTTTCCCCTTTGGGAGTCTTGGGTTTCCTCCCCTGTCCTGCTCAGGACCGCGTTTGCCTGGCCTCCACCTGGTTAGGTGAGTTCGGGGAGGGAGGTGGAGGCAGGTGGACCCATTTTATCCTTTGCTCTGGTCTCTCCCGTTCGCTCTCACTGGAGCTGGGAAGAACATTGCAGATTGCTTCTCCACCACCCCCTCTCCCACTGGCTCCCGTTCCAGCTGTGCTCAGGCAAGCTGAGGCAAGGGGGTGAGGTGCCCCCTACATTCTTCCCTCTTCCCGAGGGAGGCTCAGCTCGGAGGCCTCTGAAGAGGGGGTAAAGTTGAAAAGAGAATTTACAACCCTAGGAAAACCTTTTCTTCTTTGTAATCCCACTCCTTAGAAATGCTCAGTTTTGAGCCCAAGTCAAATAAAGAATTTGCCTCGAGTGCCTTAAATCTTGGTGCTCAGGAGAGCGGGGTGGCCCAGCCCTCCGACCGCATGCTGGGACTCATTCAGACACCTTCCTCTGTCTGGATCCATAAAGACTGTCCCTTGAGAAACAGCAGTTTGGGGCCAGAAGAATGTTCTTACGCCACCCCCCACACATGGCCCTTGTAGCTCCTCACTGCCTGCAATGGGAGAGGAAAGCTGTATGCTTTGCCCCCCAGCCCAGACATAAAGGAGAAACTGGGCGGAGAGAGGCAGGACCTGGGGTGTGGCACAGAGTCCCCTGGGTGGTGGATCATTGCCATGGGAAGGAAGCTTTAGTGACTCACATGCCACCTCTTTGGGACAGGCTGGGCACAGGTCTGAAGGTTAGCTCATTCAGTTTTGGGGACCCGGAAGAAAGAAAGTTCCATTCTTTCCTACCAAATGCTCTCATTCCCTCTTTAGCTTGCAAAGAATGTGCTTTTTCAGTATCTTCTTCTTCTTCTTTTTTTTTTTTGTCCTGCACAGTTTGAAACTTACCTGGGATTTGAGGTTTCCGCATAGGACCCGAGGTTGTGTTTGCACCACCTTCTTGACTTCCACTTGAGTGTCCTAAGGGGAAAAAAAACCCCCAACATCTCTCAACCAAAAGTTTGGAATGCACAACTACGAGTTCCTTACAGAATAGCACGCAGGGCCAACCTCTCTTCTGTTCTGTGTCACTGCGAAGCTATTTTCTAGATCCAAGCCACGGACATTTATAAAGTGTTACACGAGAGATACCTCCCCAGAAAAGCTGGTTTGATAAAGGCCAACATCTGGAGATGTCATTTTTCATGAAGAACATGAGAATTCTCGCCAGCGGCACTATGTGGTGTTTAAGACCTTGGGCTCCAGAGCCCGGCAGCCCTGGATTCAAGTCCCGCCTCCACCTCTTGCCAGTGACATTCTGCTCAGTCAAGCTACCCTCTCCAGGTTTCAGCTTTCTCATTCAGAAAATAGGGATAAGGATAAAATCCACTTCACCATAATTTCACAGAGGTGTACAGAAGCACACAAGAATGGGAACTGGGTGTAGTTGCTCCGTGCTAGCTCTGATTTAGGACCTTGCCACTCAGAGCATGGTTCCTGGACCAGCAGCACAGGCATCATGTGGGCGCCTGCTAAGAAAACAGGATCTCAGGCCTCATCCCAATCCTACTGAATCAGAATCTTCATTTTAACGAAGATCCCTAGACGATTCAAATGCTCCAGAAAGTCCAAAGCAAATCTAATGATCGCATCCAGTGTCTTCACAGATGTGAAAATAAATATTAAGAATTAAGGATTTAGGGGGGCAAAGGCCCTTTCTGTCCAGGAATAAATCACCCTCTTGGAGTCCCTTGCTAATGTGCTATTGAAACATGCCAAGTTTTCAGAGGAATAAATATCTTCTACTGCCACAAAACAAAGTAAGGGAACAAATGAAGCATCTCAAACTGGAAGGAAGCGTCACAAGACAAAAAATCCACAGCTCTGCCTGGGAGGCTCATCAAAATGAGGGAAGCATCGTGTTTTATTTTTTTATTTTATTATTATTATTATTATTTTTTTTAAGCATCGTGTTTTAAAAGAAACTTCTAAGACATCTCGTGAGGAGACTCACCTAAGGTAAAGCTTGGGTTTTTTGTTTGTGTTTTTTATGCTGCCTCCCTGGCTTCAAAACAAAATGTGAAAATATACCACAGAAAGGAACTTGTTCCTGCCTACCAATGGGGAGCCCGCTACAAAATTCTAAAGTCTACCAAGGGAAGAAAAAGCAAATCAGGGCAGTCTGCGTGGCTAAGCAACGGATGGAGATGGACAGGCTTGAATTAAATGAAGATGTCTGTGGAGGGCCAAACTTCAGACAGTGTACAGTGAAATTCTGATGACGGTGGTTTATTTTGGATAGGCCAATCTGCTGTTTTCGTTAAACTCAAAATGGAGCAAAGCACATTCTTACCAGATCTCTGGCCATTCCACACACCTCATGCCACTTTGACACTGGCCTTGTACTTGGCAAACCTCAGAAGGAGTCCAAGGTGCTTTTCCTAGTTGCCCCCCAGGGCCCTTGGTCATTGGCACATCTTCACCTGCACGGGTCATGGGATGTTGGCCATCTACACTGGAGATCTTTGGGCTTGAAAACCATCTAAGTGGTATAGGCACTCTCCCTGGTCTTTCTCTGACTCATAGCAGCCTTTGATATTTGAAAAGGAGGCCACTAATGGATCATAATCTCTTTATTTTGGTTTTCAAAAAAAGCGCTCCCAGCAAGGAAAGATCTGGGTGTGTGTACAACAAAATGAAACCTCCTACTTGAACAATACACACCTGCATAGGAGTCAAACAAAAGAGACCGCTCCCGCCCACCTGATTCTCACTTCAAGCAAAAGCCAGAGAAGATGGATGAGATACGGCAGGCCTCACCTTGCACCCTAGAGGTCTACAAATCCAGCCAGGGGAGGGCTGGGAAAGCAAGCCCCGCAAAGACGGACACTTGACACTGTAATTTGGAGATGAGAATCCAACCTGAGACGCGTGCACAGAGATAATTCAACTGGCCTCGACTGTGAGAAAAACAGTCTAGGACAGAGCTTCTCAAACTTCAGTGCACATACAAAACACCCAGTGTGGGAGGAGGGCTAGTTAAAATGCAGACCTTGATTCAGTAGGTCTGCGATGGCTGGCGCTTCTGCATTTCCAGCCAGCTCCTAGGAGATGTCCAAGGACGGCGCCTGGAGTAGCTAGGGCCTCTTGATTTTAGAGAGCATGCATTTTGATAATAACTCCCTATCATTTCCCAAACTCTTTTGTTTTCCTGATACCTCACGTTCTTCCCAAGAACTCTGGGAGGTAACCGAGGCAGGTGCACTGATTCCTGTTCTACTAGGAAGGAAAGGGAAAGGCTGATCCCCTTTTTTACTAAGAGCTTGGGAAAAGCCAGATGCCCCACCCAAGGAACTCAGAGAGCCAAGACTTTGGTCTTTGCTTTAGAAGTACTCCTAATGAACCCCGATATCCTGTGCTCTTACGTGAAAGCTTATTACCAAGCCACCATGTAAATATCCGTCTTCGTATTTGCTTTAAGTGTATGAACCTTTAGACCTAGAGGCAACTGCAACCCTGACTTGGGCATGAAGGGAAGACCATGGTTCGGACAGACCTGGTTTTCATGGGATCACCTACACTGACAATATCAGGGCCACCCATACCGGCAGGACCTTTCAGTGGTCCCAGTGATACTGGTCAAAAGTAAACCTGCCTCATGTCAGACTTTTGTTGCCCGCAGTAATGTTTCCAGGGGTGTGATCTGAGTCACAGTAAACACTTATCCATTTAATAATACGTGCCTGGCAGTAATTATGGTCATTATGGAGTGTTTTCTCCAGAACATATTTATAGAGGCAATATGAGACCTCAGGGCTTGAAACCTGGCTCCACCGCTCAACTCACCAGTCACGTCAACACAGCCAAGGTACTTGCCCTCTCTGAGTCCTAGTGTCCTCATCCGTAATACAGGGGTGATAAACAGTACTTACATAGGTCACAGGGTTTTAGGATGATTAAATAAAGTAATATTAGATGAACCATATGAAATCATGGGTATTTGACAGTTGACCTACAAAAATGGCAGTGTCATGTGGTCCACCCTAGTTTATGTGAAGAGTTCACATGACACCACCAGCATACAGTAAATTCTCATTAGATGCTAGCTATAGTGCCATGTGCTGGGGGTTATGCTAAATGCTTTACATGGTTTCATCATTTAGTCTTTAAAACGATGCCCTGCGACAATTATTATCCCAATTTTAATCATTAGGAACTGAGTCTCAAATCCCTAAAGCAACATCCTCAGTGTGTGGAGGAGTTGGGATCAAGCCCAGGCCATTCTTACTCCAAGACCCATGTTCTTAATCAAACTGGCTTAATATCATGCTCAATTGAGACCCTGCCTAAATTCTTTTTGATCCTTCCACATGGAAGACTTTTCTCCAACACAGTAGTTCTGCATTGTCCCTGCAGTGTCAGCATCACCAGGGAACTTACTAGAAATAAATATGCTCAGGCTCCACCTCAGACCTACCGAATCAGAAACCTTAAGGATGGGGCCCAGCAGTGTGATTTAATAAGCACTCTCCATGATAGTGATGCATGCTAAGAAAGTCTGAGAACCACTCTTCTTGAGACAATGACTCATACTTTATTAATCATCAGTAGGCTCAATGATGATAACAGCAAATGACTACAGTAGCTCAAACTTACCAGCTGATTCTGATCCATGAGTGGTATGGGACCTCCCACTGGGGTGAACCCATGAGTCTTGGTCTTCTGTGAGGAGCAAGCAGAAAAGGCTCATTACTGGGTGTTCCACTGCAATTTACATTTCCTTACTTTTGCATTTTCAGATAGCTTATCACCAAGTTTAGTGTTTTAAAGGTCACCAGAAAACCAGTGGCAAGGAGACTTGAATGGCTCCATGGTATGAATTACTGTTCATTGCTTGATCCACTGGTAAGTAGACTAGAGCTTTAATCAAAATTAAATAAACTGGGACAGCACAGACCATCCAGGAGGACCACAGGAAGTGTGGTTTTGGTAGAAATCTAAGAACATTAACACTCTATTATGATGTCTTTGTAGGTCTGAGTTGGAACTTGATACTATGTCTTTGAAATAGAGACTAAATGCTTTGAATTATACAGATGTGATCGCTGGGAGTGTGTGTACTCTCTGACTCAGAGCATGAGCCACTTAAGGAGTTTTCTCTGAGGCAGGAAATAGAAAATGGTTTTGGTGTGCAAGATCTTGGTGTTGAGTTATGCAAAATTTCAAAGGAAAGGTCAACTGCTTATGTAGAGAAAAGGAATTTGAAGATAAGTGAAAAAGGAATAAGATGGGTGCTAACATGTAAAAAATATGGACCTGGTTATTAGAATAAAAATAAATAATAAAAAATAATATTTTTCAAAATTTAAATCCGAATTTTCAACATCAAGAGTTAACATAATCTCATCTCCCCAGATGTCTATCACCAAAAGGTTTTCAATTGAGACAGACTCATGAATTGCTAAAATCTGGGTCTATAGGTCAAATCAAACATATGTAAATTTAACACATGGAAACAACCCTCCCCGCTCTCCTCTCTCTTCCCCATACACTTCCAACATGCTGGAATCTTAGAACAAAACAAAACAACAAGACAAACAACAATAACAACATAAAGGGACAATGGTTTCATAAAATGGTTACCGTCACCCATTATGAAGACCTGTAAGGAATATATAGAAATCTGATCATCACCATTTCTTTGGTTAGAGAAGGCGGAGGTAAGCGTCCTGTAATCCCTTGTGTAATTGTACAGAGGAGACAGATTGTTTTGTTCTTTAGTGAGAGTACTTGAAAAGAGCATTTGCTGAAATGCCAACACCAGCACCCCCGATACCACCACCACCATCGTCATCACCACCACCACCACCACACCACTGCAACTGCAAATGTTTTAGTTCTTAACATCAAGCATCAAGACTGAGAAAAACGTATGGAAGAACTAACCTTTACCTGACTGGCTTGGAGGAAAACTAAGGATGACAGTTGAATCACTTACTAATCATTTAGTGCAGGAAGAACCACAGAATATCCATCTGTTTGATCATGGAATATAGAAGGAATCTGCATATGTGAATATCAATTTTGTCGAAAGCATTTTATTTACTAACAAATATATTATGTGACCCTTTCATAATACTATCACTTTTAAAACTGCCATTTAAAATTTAAATTCATTTGATCTCATAACGGTCCTTACTTTGCCAAGAGAAACAAGGCAGTGGTCTAAGACTAATTTCTCTGAAAGAAAACTGACAATGCTACTTGGAATGTTTAATAACTGAGGGCAGAACCATGCTGGATAAAGAACCAAAGGGTGTGAGGGGTTATGTCTTGCTACTATCACCAAAGTTAGTATTTTTAAAAACTGCCTAGAAAAGGAAGCTCTGGGTGAGCAGCCCAGAGGCAAGAATCCAAGCATGTGACATCCTGAGTCTTCTGTCCCCATATCAATTAGAGCATCAAAGATGTCATCTGTTTTATCTACTGGGTTCTCATAAAACTTACTTTTTTTTGGGGGGGGGAGACAGACCTGGCTACAAATATATATTTAAAATCATGAATCTTTAATATAATTCAATGGTTGAGTGGCAAGAAGCACTTGAATCACTGGGATGGGGAGGAGAGATTGCGATTCTCATTTCTTAACCAGAGTAGTTATGTCCAGTTCTTTTTCCTTCAATGTAAGTTTCTTAATGCAAATGGAGGAGCAAAGAAAGGGAGAAGTAGGCGAGACTAGGTATTTGAGAAAAGAAGTCTCACTCTCCTTTTAGGTGGTGTCCAACTTAATTGAATGAGTCATCTTTAGTCATCTCTTTGCCATTACAACACAAGAAATCAAGTCTATGCATTATTAGTAGATTAAATCATAAAGTTTGAAATGTGAATCATAAGCAGGTTTAGCCACGAGCCCTCCACCGACAGTAAAATTCACCAATCCATCACCAGTAAAGATGATAATTTCAGAGCAAAAGATTTTAGCCTATGGAAATTTTTCACATGTTGGGTAAAACCTTACTAATGAGGTAGCATATCTGAGTTGAACCAAATGAATTTGCTAATACTTAACTACTTTGACCTACAAACACGTTAATTTCCTATGGTTCAAATTAATATATCACAAGATTAGGAACAAAGAGAGAAATCCTAACATGACAACCAAGTCCCAAAAATAAATGGAGACTGGAATGAGGACCTGTGGTAAAGGTCATTCCCGTATGACAAATCCGTCTAATCATAGCCCGCACAGAAAATGCCCCCCTTGCCCCCCTGTAGTACAAAAGTACACGTTGTGTCACTCTCTAGGGAAATCGAACCAGATAGCAAACGGCCAAGTTACCTGAAAGGAAATGAATAACGTTAGAATTGGAATCTCCAGCAATATTAACTTCAGTAACTCCAGGGAACCCCGTCTTAGCGGGGGTCACTGGGATGAGGGTCCTGTATTCATTTGTGGCTGGCGAGTGAGAAGGAGAAGCTTCCACTGAAGGAGCTGAGTCTTCGGGAAGATGTCCACCTTTTCTTCCACCTCTGCCATCAGTTCTATCTGTATGGATGTGGAACCAATGGTGAGCCCACATTTGTGAGGCCACCACCCATCGGGTGCTTGTCTTCAGAACATGCTAGTGCTGCAAAAGCTTTCCACTTGTTATTCATGAGTACGGAGCAAAAGACAGTACAGTTCATTCTACTATTGAACCGAAGCGATATTTTGCGATTGGCACCACCTGGACATGCCTCAGTGGAAGAGATTTTGGTGATCCCAACACCCAGGAGAGGCATTTGTCGCAACGTCTGCCTGGATTACTAGAGTTAGGTTTATGCTGCTGTGATGGTGACCTTGAAGTCAACTCAGGTACTAGATAATCTGGAGCTCTTACTCAATTAGACCCGCCTTTGATGAAGTGGAGAAAACACATCATTGAACTGAAAAGTAAAATCATGCTCCCTGCAAAGGGAATTGTAAAGGCAAGGTTTCAAAGCCCCGAGGCTTAGATTACTCTTCCCTTTGCCATAAGGGCACCGCTTCTTAGTCACCAGCACCATGGATATATGTCCAGAGGATGAATGGCAAAATAATATTATTGATGAAAGGAAAACAGAGAGTGATAGAATTCAGACCTTTACACCAATTATAAATCATATACAAGCGATCCGTTATTTTAAAACCACGCCACTAGCTCTAGAGTTTAAGAAACCTGAATTTTTGAGAAATACTGTTTGTACTTTACTATGTACAGTAGCTTCTAAGAGGTCTATAAAGCAGAAACATCAAAGAACCATCACCAGCCACACCTTCTGATCAGAAGTAACAGTTTAACAGCAGCCAGTTGTGTACCTCCACCAAAGACACCACAAAAATATCCATAATTTATTGAGCTTTATCAAGAGCTGAAGCCAACTGGGCTTTACAATCCTTACTGCTAGTTGGAGTAGAAGCCATTGGATGGTTTTTATCTTCTTCCAAGCCTTCAGGCGATGTGGAGAAGCTCTGAGTATGACTTTGCTCTGTTTCAATGAGGGAGGAATCCAGCATTAATTTGGAGCCATGAAACGAATCCTCCGTTAACTGCGGACAGGGAGGATCTAGCTATGGTAGTGTCAGACGGGTAGGTGCACAGGAAGGTCGAAGTTTGTGTATACTACTCTCCTCTGATTGCTAGAAATGTACAACAGAATTCTGTTTCATCCCTCATCAGCTCCTAAGAACCTCTTTTTCAGTATAGTCAACAAAGATAAAGTGCCAAGGTGAAGCCTGAATCAAAACTTTGTCCACCCTGGATCATCCTGGCCCAACTCTAGCTTCCAGCCACTTAGGAAAACTAAGGAACACAGAGACAAGGAAAAAGGAATGGTGGGTGGCAAATTGGGACTGTAGGGAAATAAATACCATGACAGCAGGTAGCACATTTCCTAGGATGAAAGAAGAAGTTCTAGAATAACCTGCTCAAGTAACTCAGATCAAATTTATACAAAGAAATATTTAAGCCCCTTCTAAAGAATATTAAATTAGAGCTACCATTATACTCTGTTATTAGGTTTTTGATCTTGTCTGTAAATGAGGATTCTCATCACTGCACTGAAACGTCAGGAAACGCTTGCCTGGGCAAACACAGGGCCCACACTGACATGTACCAATCTGAGGTTGAACCACTGCCCACATCTGAAATCACTCTGACTACTTGGGGTTGACTTCTTTTGTGTTCTTCTAAGAAAGGTACTGACCTGAGTTACAGGTGCAAGCATTCCATAAAGCACATCCGTAAGCCATGTCCACCACCAAGTAAACATGACAACCAGGAGAAAGGCATTCACCAAATCCCAAGCCCAGTATCAGAACAAAAGTCAGCAGGGACATAGAGTGGAAACACAAGGCCCCCCATTGGAGGGGACCATTCTTAGGCTTCTCTCCATCTCCTTTGATGCTTAACATTGTGCTACATACATTCTTGGTGATCAACGCATGCTTGTTGACTTTTTCCCTCTACCTAGAAGAGCTCACATGAAGGACTCTGACCAGTATGTGTATCAAGCAGTGAAATGAAGCCCTCTTAAATCTGGATTTCTTTCATACTCGGTCAAGAAATCACGAACGACTTCAGGCTGCCCTCTAGGATAGCCCTGTCCATATAATGGCAGTTAAAGCTACTAAGAGTTTAAGCACTGGTTCGACAAGATGTTCAGTAATGGGAAGAGATATAAGTAAGTGTTCCTCGTTTGTTTCTGGGTCCTGCCACTTTTGTTAATGGTCAACAGTATGTCTTGCCCTCCTGAAGCAGGACTACAGGCCAGTAGAGGGGCTGTTATATCCTTCTGGGTTGTCATTGAAAGAGGTCCTATCCTGTCCAAGTCTTCCACCAAATGTATGTTCGGATCTGCAGAAGGGCTGACATGTGGACTATGGCTGGAGTCCTTCTGTGGGCTGCTGTAATTTCTCCATTCTCTATGATTATCTGGCCCCACAATTTCTTTTCTCAACAACCCTACCTCTCTTCTGCCTTGATTGGAGGAAAGATGGGAACCAAAGGGAGATGGTTAAAACAGAGAAACCACTGTCTTAGCCATGTTCTTGGGTTTTACTCACATAATGATTTAGGGAAGGAAAATCAAGTTGGGAAGAATCCCACAACTTTTAAAAATTTTCCTTAACATAAAGTCATTGCATCTGGAAATCACCAAGAATGAAGGCAAAATCAGATTTAAAGAACACACCAAGAAAATATAGACAATGAAGACCCTTTCATACTCTGGGCTTGAGCCGAGCCACGTAGCACTAACTCCACCATTCCACCACCAAGCTCTGCAGGTGGGCCAGGGTGAGGAAGAGCTGAAGCAGGACACAGGCCAGTAAAGGGGCTGCTATATCCTTACGAGTCGTCATTGAAAGAGGTCCTATCCTGTCCAAGTCTTCCACCAAATGTGTGTTCGGATCTGCAGAAGGCTGACTTGTGGGACTATGGCTGGAGTCCATATCTGAAGGAATCAAACCAGTGTTAATGCTTGATTTACTAAGCACTACCTGAGGGTGGTTTATGGTCTACAGACAAACTATTTTCATACTCAAACCTGGACAAGAGGGGGGAAAAGTACATACTGACTTATGTCTCCAGAACTGGAACAAATTATTACTTCTTCAGAAGAGTATCACAAGAAGTAATTGGCTTTCATTTAAAGAGTGTATGGAAGATACAATTTCATTTTTTGTTGAGTCTGGAAGGACTCTAAATAAACATGAGATACCTCTCAAGCCTCGCAAAAAGACAGAAACAAAGCCTGTGTGTCACTCGTCCCATGCCATACACATTGCTTCCCTTATAGACCCATGTGATCTGGATCATGGAGAAAAGACAAAATGCACTGGTTCAGATCCCATTTTTTTCACATGTCCCTCACTTGGCAAAAGAGCTTTTTAAAATTTTTTTAATTAAAAAAATGTACAGTCCCCTTTCTCTTTTGGTCCTTTTCCTTTCACAAAGTGAATGTGCATATAACACATAAAATTATTATCCAATACTACCTACATGGAAGCCATGGGAAGTATTCAGGGGCAAGAAATAAAAAGCAGTCGATGTCAGTGAATCATTCTTCCTATAAACACAAGTTTGAGATGTCTCTGGAATTTAACATGTGCAATGTTGAGAGACGCCAAAATGTCACTGAAGGATTTAAATGTGCTGTTTCTAGTAATTGCCACAGATCGGTGGGGCTGAAATAACAAGTCCTGAGTGAAACAGCGACCAAACAATCCAAAAGCACTATCACTGTTGCTGGCTGTCCAACTCCAAGTCTACCCATACTGCTGCATCCAGAGAGATTTAATCAGGTCCAGATGACTCCAGAGGGAAACACAGGAATACTGGACACTCATATCTACAATGAAGCCTTTACATACAAGAAAAGAGAATTAAGATCTTTGTAGGGCAAAACATGGCTGACTGTATTATCCCAGGTTTCAAAAAGGAGGAAAGGCTAGTTAACCTAAATCAAAACCCCAAATGGATATGCTCTCAGAAAAAGTCCTGTCTGTTAAGCTTTTAGACACTCTTGCTCACCTTCCCTTCTATAAGTAGAATCCTTCAAGATATTTTGCACCGATCTATGATTGAAGTCAATTGTATTATCTTTGACATGTTCGATTTAATAGACAGACCCTCTTTCTGTTCATCAGTATGGAGGATTAATATTGATCCTGAAGGTTAGTTTTTACTGGTTTGGTTTTCCACCATGGATACACCAGAGCCACCAGCAGCCATGTGCACACACGTGTGTTGGGTTGGCATGTGGCACTTCAACCCCGCAACCTAATGGCCACAACCTAGCCACTGAAACTCATCTTCCTTTATGAGAAAAGGGCCCAGTCACTCTGAAAAATCCATACCATCCTTTGGTTTCCCTTCCTTCATGCCTCTCCATACTTGAGTCTCCTTTCTAGAAAAACTTTCCCTGACTTCCTTTCTCTATTCATGTTTTTTTTTTTTTCATTTTTGAAAAACCAGATCTGATCTACTTTTCTCCGACACTCTCTGGAGAGTCCTTTGAATTTTTATGTTTATCGGGGGCAACATTCATTTGACATCTATTACTTATCGTTTAATATAGTTAGATACATTTTGATGATAAATGTTTTCTTTTCCTAAATTTTAAGTTCTGTAAGGCCATGGAACATGCTGTGTCCATAATGCACTGCACATTTGCAGATATTTAACAAAATTGTAGCTTAAGGGATATCTGATCATTAATATTGGGGAACAGCATAGGATATTTTAAAGGAAGGAAGCCATAGAGACTCTGGGATTCATTTTGGAGATAATTTGGTTCAATTCAACATCAAGAGACATCATTATTATGCTCTTAGAACCCATTTTAATGCAGTCTATGTTATGCATACCCTTGGCAGTTTGGATCCAGATAACATATTCAATGCTATGACTGAAAATTCACTTCCCTCTATTGACTCTTTTGTTTTTTTCTCCTTTTTTGGAATGTGATATTTCTGTGATCGAGACATCTTGTCAAATAATTTTTTAAAAAAACTTGAGTAACTCAATTCATGGGTATAGTAAGGAGCATGGATTCTCCAGCTTAGTAAAGACTGAAAAAAAAAAGCGATAACACCACCTGCTGCCAACTCCTGCAGATTCTCTCAGGAAAGCTGTCATCTGTTCTGATAAAGAAAGAATTCCTTTTGAATATAAAAACTGGTCAAAAAATCAAAATCCTCCATTTTTTGCAGAACTACAACTAGTATCTCTTTTACTTTTCTTTCATTTCTATTTTTAATTGCTTATAGATAAATAAGACTTATATTTAAGAAAACAGGGATTCTATCCTGTAAAAAAGCAGTCCATTCGTTAAATTTGCAAATATTTATTGAGGACCAAGAGTAGTCCAAATCCTAAGTCACTGGGTACTGTATTTCTTTCTAAATGTGGCAAGAGTGAATAATTATATTTTCTGAGCTTTTTATTTACTTTTTATTTACTTGTTTGAAATGAGTACTCACCGGTTTTTGACCTCTAAGGTTTCTTTAAGTTACATCTACCATGAAAACAGTCACTGAATTCAATCACTTCACTCTCTTTAAAACCTTGTACTTAAAAGTAAATGGAAAATAAATCTTGAGGCTGCTTCTTCTTCAGAGAAAATAACTTCCACTCCTGCCACTTTAGGACTAATTCTGCTTTAACCCTCTGGCTGAATTCTTTAACCACGGCCCAGGATTTCATATTCAGATGAATGTACTTATCACCCCTACCTAGAAAACTAATTTTTGAAGACACTTCAGGTTCCTTGGGAAAGCAGACTGGTCTAAAATCAAGGGCACATTTCTAGGTAAGTGGCCATTTGGTGCCTTTCAAAAACATAACATATAGAAAATCTCAGAGGCTATTACCCATCCATCTTTCTGTTTGATGCCCTGGTCCCATTGGATGTGAGATTGGGTCAAAGAAGTAAGTCCAGGAGCTGTCCTCTTGACTCTGCGTTGTTTTTTTGATCTGGATGGCTGTCTTGGGCTGTGGCTGTTGTGACCAGGGAGTTCAAGCAAGTGTTAAAGTGTTAGTTGACATCTGACCAGGGATATACTGACAAATTTAAAGAGACTTTATTCTCTAGACAACACAATGAAAGCACCTTCCTGGTATAGAGGGCCAAGAACTTGTGTAAACACAGGATGTTTTAGCAGGTATGGGTCTGTTCATGCTCATTTACTTAGCAATCAGCATGTGAACTAGAGGACACAAAGGTATTAATAACTCCTGCACGAACAGAGAATGAGTTATAGTCATCATGTGAAGATAAAGAGGTAGTTCTTGAACCACATGCCATTTTGCCACCATCCCCTAAAGGAGGAAGTGTCTAAGCACATGATGTCATTCAGAGACAACCACATCCCAGTTAAATGCACATTAGACTGGTAGTGATTTAAAGAAGGAATCAGGGTGCCCACAAGATAAACATGAAAGTAAACATCATTCATCTCAAAAGCATGAATGGAATCCATCAGAAGCATTACCTTCTAACAAGGGGATTCACAGCTCAAGGGACATATAAGAATTCAGCACGTGCTTTTGCTTCATTCAGAACCAGTGGAGATACATAGGTAGGGAAGATTACAATAGGAGCCCCTTAGCAACAACCACACCACAGAGCCAGTCACTGAATCCATTGCTTTGCCAGGTATGCATTCAGAAGCTGCCACACACTGGAAGGACATCCTGCATTACATTCTATATTGCAAATGGAAGCAGGGGGCTATTCTGATACCAAGTGAGAATACAGAATTCATATTTTCTTACAAGACAGGATGCATTTCCATGTTTCTGTCACACAGACAAAAGAATCATGCATAGGAGTTTGCAGAGTCAAGTTATCTGGCATCACTTAGAGATGATGACAGGACTCAAGTCCAATTTCCATGATCCCACAGTTCAAGAATAGAGAAGGTGTATTTTTGTAAATCTAAGAAAAAAGCACTGTGTGTTCAAAGAGAAATCTCCAAACAGACATGACCAAAGGGCTAAATGACATCAAACAGTTATTTTCTGTCTGGCTCCATTTCTTCTAACATTAGAGTTCTGACCAAATACTTTCTAACATGCCCAGTATTTTATAAAGCTATATCGTAGATTCCTTTACAAAACAAAAGGGAGTATTTGGTAAGATCAAAGTCTCTGCTAAAATCTCACTAGGGGATGCCCAAAACTAGATCTGAAAGTGGCATATGCAGGAGTCTCTGTCTCTTCTTTGCATGCTAGATCAACTCCTACTTAGGTGATTTGTTATGAGCATTTAAGAGTTGGCTCTGTGTTGACCATATCATAATTTACTAATTAATTGATTAATTAATAATTAATAATTTGCAATTCTTCTTTCAATGTCTTTTTGTTCAGTGTTCTCTATGCTTAACATTTAACCCAAGAGGAAGTTTCCACCCAAGTTTGCTTGTTAAACAACCCATTACCAGCTGTCCCTGCTGTTGAATGAGAGTCTTCTTTTGGTGACTGCGGATATTTCCCATGCCATCCATTCTCAACCCACTGCTCTTTCTGGGTAGCTGTTTCTTCTATTGTACTACTAGGGATTGCCTCTGCTGTGAGAAGAACAATTGTGAGCCATTATTGTTCAATTTCCTTACCAACACATATCTTAATATGTCAAGGCCATATACCTACGGGAGAAAAGGTAGAAAAGGACAGCAGCAAGGAGAGAGACCACTGATATTCTGGAAGAGATATTAGAGATCAATGGCCCAATCTTTCCATTTTTCAGATAGGAAAACTGGGACTCAGAGTTCTTTTGCTCAAAATCCTACATCCAGATTGGCACAAAGTTAAGACTAGCCTAGTCTATGAATTCCCAGTAATGAGTCTTAGTTTACCATATTCCATGGCCTCATATATCCTTGTCTGAGAGAACATTGACTCCAAAGAATTAAGCCCTTTGCTGCAGTGATTTTGAGGGGAGGAGTATATTATATAACCAATTGATGATAAAATCAGCATGGTAGGAAGCCTTCTCAAATGGTGGTCACATAACCCATGATCACATGCACTGGAAAGGCACCAGCAGCAGATGTGCCCAGCATGAAAGATGTTGACAATGACTGGCACATTACAAAGTTATGTCTACATGGCATCTAAAATTGCCAAAATTACTTTTTAACAAAATTAAGTCAATGGAAGAAAGCTATTCTAGCCAGTGTTTGGGATTATACAACAATGGAAATGTGTGATGAGCTAAAAATTTCAACCTCTCAGTGTTGTAGTAGTCCAGTTTTAAAAAGAATAAAGTGAATGGAATAAAATTGTATCAGGGTGCCTTTGGGAAAAGTCAGAAAGCCACTGTCATTTTCATTTATAGCTCCTAATAGCAAATGTTTAGTTCATCAAGAAAATGAGAGCCTATAGACTTGCCAAGCCAAAGTGTATTTTGCAACTGGTAAGACTGCTTGTATTCCATAATTTTAGAAAATGATATGTGTGATTTGATAATAAGAAAAATCTTCAAAAAATAAAGCCTATGTCCTCATTTTACCCTTGCATTGGCCAAAACATTCCTGGGGTTAACTGGTTATCCAGAGGGAGGAAAAAGAAGTCCCAAATCTTCAGTTTCACCTCCCACTGACTAAATCACTACCTCCTGACAAACAACGAAGTTACAAAAACCATGAGCCTAATTACAAAAAAGGGGAGACTAACCCGAACATAAACTGCCTACTCAAAATATTTTAGAAAAGAAAGAAAAAGACAAATGCATGGGTGCACACACACACACACGCACACATGCACACACTACACTATCTTTAGAAACATAACGATCCTTTAAATGTCCAGTGACCCTGCTGTTTGCAACATATGGATCGGCAGAGGATAGGATTTCCATCGTAAAATATGAAGGCTAACTCTCTTCTAGAAGTTGTAATGGTCTTTGACAAAGCCCAGAGGTCACCAACCAGAATCTCCTTAGGTTTTGTAAGTACTGATAAGAGAATTGCTGTAGAGGTTACCACTTTCCCCTTTCCCTCTGTGAGGTTCTGTTATATCTGGATTTTCAACCCCCCTCCAGGAATGCTGTCCCCTCCCCCCCTCCCCCACCACCTTTTGACAATGGGCTAATTCCAAGCCTCTTAAGAAACTGTCTCCTTTTTAAGTACAAACTGTCTTAAATTCTAAGATATACTGGTTCCAGAGGGGAATGGTACAGAATCCCATTCTGAAGAGACGTCTGCTTCTCATTTCTTCCTTCTATCAGAAGCTCTTGTTAACTCAGCCCATAGCCGTCACACAAAAATAAAATCCACTGGGATAAGTAATGAGCTGCAGGCCTGTTGGGTGTATTCAGCACAATGCCCAGGACTTAAAACCTACATCCTGGTTGATGTCTGAAATGCTTCTTTTGTTGTCTGAAGGCATCCCTTAAAAACTATGGCTTCTCTCTTTGGTTTCTAAGTGGCTGCTTCTTACATTCTTGCCTTAGGAGTATCCAAAGCTAAGAGAATAATAGTTAAATCATAGTTTTAAAGATATTACAAGCTGTCATCCTAAATTAAAGCTTCTTTTTTTCCCAAACATGATAGGCATATCTCCAAGAAGGAAGAAGAGTATATACTCCTTACTTTTTTAGTTCTATCCTCAGAGACCAGTAGTGAGACTTGAGATTGTTTTTGCAAAACCTGAGATGTTTGCATGTAAGTAGAAATAACAGTACAAAGCCTTCCCCAAGCTACTCTGAGCTTAAAAACAGAAAAAGAACAGTCACAGAAATTCAAATATAGTCTATATGAGCTACTGACCTTCCTCCAAAGAGTATAAGGGATGCCTTTCTACAATGCAGTGAGGAAGAGAATGTAAAAAAAGAAACTGGATTCATCAAAGATCTTCACAGAAGATAAGGATTCCAAAGATCATCAACGCACTTGTCAAGCTTTCTTTCCAGATTCCACTGCTCAGCACCAAAAGATACACTCTTCATCACACATTTCCATAAACACACACAAATCATCCAAATGGAACCTTGAGGGATCTCTAACACACACACACACAAAACATATCTCAGATCTCTTAAAAACATTTCAACATTTTGGCCTTGTGGGCAACCTGACAAGTTAGCATTTTTCTTCCAACTCCTAGAACTTGTGCGTACACTTGGCAGCTTTTCATGCTCCATGGATAAAAGAAATTACTGTATAGAAATAGAAGATGTGGCTAATGTCTAAAAAAAATTCTTCCCTATTCTTCCGAGTGACTTCAGTAACTCATCTAAGCCAGAACTGCTGACCACCATCCTCCTTACTTGTGCTTGTAGCATGCTGGGCCTCCTCTTCATCATGGTGCTCATGGTGAATGAGAGGAGAGTGTGGTTCGCGGGTCCAGTTTTCTCCATTAGCACTGGTGCCACTTCTGTCCACATCTGCCGTGATGATGGTTATATACACTGTGACTTTTTAATCAACCAACTTTGGTGTTGTGCTCTTCCATTACAAAGCATGCTATTTAACAGTGCTATGCCTAAATGGTACCTCTGAGCATCTCCGCTCAATACTTTTGAGTGACTCCACTAAACTCTCCCAAGAGAAAGTCAATGGGCATGAAATTTCTTAATGATTACCTATTATTCTACTATAATCACTTTGTCGAGGGCAGCACCATAAACCAAGGTAATGTGTTCATTTTTATAATAAAGCAACATAAAGTATCTTGTGCCCAGATGGTATGATTGATAAATGACTCCTAGGTCGAACCGAGTATCCTCATGAAAATTTAGAATGTGTGATGAGACATTAACTACATTTCCCACCGAGTCCTGATGATTGACCTTTGCAGCATCATAGACTTTGAGGGAAAAAAAATCTTTAATGAAGTATGCATAACCCATTACCAGTCATCCTTGCAGTAGTCTGAAGTAATACTCCTGGATTCGATTCGCCTGGGCTCCACGGGGTCCAATCCTGGTTCTGTTTTGGGTGGCTAAAAAGCCGTGGTGTGGTTGGAACTGTGATAATGATGATTGAAGCAATTAGGAAAATGTTAGCTCTTGAGCCTTCACTACTTGTTTTACACATCTCTCTTCTTTGGTCTATACAGTGAATCATCTATACCAGGTTATATAGATGGTTGAGTGAAAACGGAGGGAAAGCAGAGAGAGAAGGACTTCAGCTTGATTCAGCCATATTGTCAAGCACCTCAGTGTCCTCTGCATTCTGTCAAAGATCACGTTGCTGTCAGAACACGACATGTTCCAGAGAAAGGAGCGAAAGGAGCTGCAGCAGAAGGAAGAACAGCTTTGGAAACACCCTCCACCAAGGAGAGCCAAAAACATTAGCATTTTGCCCATCCATGCAGTCTGTAACAGCCCTGTGCGCCTGAGAGCCCCAGGAATTGGTATCACTGGCAAGTATGCTACGTGGAGATCCTCAGGCTAAAGAGGTAGATACCTGAAAACTATACCATGATGATATGATCACTTTATTTCAATAAGAGTTTTGGTGGGGGAAGGCATATCCTGAGCAGCCAGGGATTTCCTATAGATGATGTTAAGAAAGAACATTTGACCCAGAACAGCCATATGATTTACATTTCTGAATATTTAGCAAATGCCTATGGTATTCTCAACAAATAGAAAGCACTTCATGAGCAAGCCATTCATAGCCAATGAGAGAAAAACAAGATTCATACATTCAGTAGAAAAGCACCATAGGTAACCCACCACCATTAGCAGATGGTCGGCCGTCGGGGGTGGGGGGGAGAAGAAAAAGAGGCATACATCCACCAGAGGCTGAAACTGTCACCGAAAATGATAGAGCTGGAGTAGGAGACACCTGACAGAAGGATCACGACAAAATTAGGATCAACTGCTTTTGTGAAAATATTATGTGCAAATCCATCCTAATTCTTCCAAACTTATTTTGATACCCAACTAAAATCTCCACTAGTTCTTTTCAGAACTATAATACCATCAGCTCTATTTCACGAGTGAAGCAAGTCAAGTTTAGAATCATTATGCACATTCTCAACAAGCGTGAAAAAGTGGCAGTTGTCATATCCCTACAGAAGAAAGAAGGCATCCTGCTTAATTACGTACACAGGTGCCAAGCAGTGCACTGAAAACAGTGAGCTGAAATTGGAAAATACGCCACAGAGATGAAAAATACCAATGGGCATTTTCCCCAGGACCTTGATCACACTATTTATTTTCAGGTTGATCTGTTTGGGTTGCCACCCAAGAAAGCTGAGTTTCTCAAGTATCAAGACCACATCTTTAATGATGGCCCCACCTTCTGTGTCCTGAACCCAGAAGACAGTGTGATAGTAAAGCTCCAGTGTTTTTTGGCTATTTGATTTTCTCTCTGAAGTTATTAAAGGGGGTTTCCTTGTTTTCTAGACCAAGCTCTGCAGAGGTGTCCAATCTAAAGAATATACCACTTAAGAGCTTAGATATAAAGTGTCTAGGTCATCTTCAGTATTTGTGGCATCGATGCCATATACTCCGATGCCTCAGAGCCCAAGCTACTTTTTGGAGTCATCCCTTCCTGGGTGCTGTCCATTTAGGGGACAGCACTCTCAGGTTTCAGTAAGACAGTCAGAACTTCAGTGACCTGAGAGAGTCCATGTCACACCACAAAGGTATATCATCTCTGAGGACAAGAGTGATGAAGTGATATGGGAAATTCAGGTTCAGAATTCTCAGCTTTATTCAGCAACATCTCCGATCATGAGAGATATGTCCAGGAAACCCGGTCATCTGGCTAACTATTAGACTGACCTTTGCATGTGTTTTTAAAGGATGTTTCTCAGCTCAATTTCCATCTCTGCCCTCGAAAAGTTTTATAACCGTCACAAATTTGGATACTATTATACAGTGTATTCACTATTTGTTTTTAATACTTGGCACTGTTTCTGTTAAAGCTCAGCTAACATTTGTACTTTCCTTCAAAGTCTTTTAATTATATGGGTGCCCTATTCATTTGTTAAAACTGGATTTGCCCCCTTGATTTCAACCAAGTTTTGATTCTGACGATTCTTGAATTCTGGTTCCCAACTTTTAAGCCTTTCTAGGACTGTTTAAGTCTTCAATGTAGAATCATCTACAACTTTTAATTAATATCCTCCCACTCACATTCTACTGCTTCAATACATGATAGTTTGAAGGCAAGAGCTCTGGTTGTGTTTTTTTTTTTTTATCTTTTTGTTCCCAGCACCAAGCACGATAGGTACACAATAAATATTTGTTGTAGTGTTTTCCTATGCCATTCTCTGACAAAGCCCAATAATTCAAGGAGAATCTGCAGCAGCAGATCATATAAATATACAAAACAGAAAGAACCTAAGGCATTAGGAGTTTTATAAAAGATATTTTCCTCATTGCTCCATTGCTCCATTGCTCAAATGGAAGGAAGTTTTGACTCCCATTTTGAAAAAAAATAATTTTTTCTTCCTTCATGATCTAGGACTAAGGTATAACTAAAGCGTGATAAGCCATAGATTTATGCTCACTTTCCACATTAACTATTTCCCAAGGTAGGCACTATACTGGGCATCACTCAGATTAATCAGTAAGCCTTGCATAAATGGTTCTACTGTAATTGATTATTCTTACTGGTGCTGGAGATAAAATCTTCATCATCATCAATGCCTGATCCAGAATAACTGGGGTGTTTGTCTCTTTCATCTTCATTTTCTTCAGTTGGTTCCCAGCCTGCTGAGATGATACTTGAATCCGTACCTGTTGTGGTGACTTATGTTAGTGGCTGAACTGGATGCCAAGCAACCCATTTGACAAAGGAAGAAAATCAGGCACAGAATGTATAATGGAATTCCCAACATTTTAAGAAGAGTGAGACATCTGAGTTGCGTACCCCCAAATTCTTATATCCTAGTCTCTGAAGCTAATGCATAGATCTAAAAACAATTGGCTGTGACCTATACAACTGAACGCTCTCTTTAAGGAAGTTAAAAGAATAAATATGGACATAACCCCAGCAAAGAAACAAAAGAAGAGAAGGCCAATAAACTCTCCCTCTCCCATGCTTTCAGATTATTAACTTATTAAGCATGTGCCATTAAAGCTAGGGTGTCAAGAATAGAATGAAAAGATTTCACATGTGCCCATTTGTTTTGTCCAGCCACCTTCAGAAAACTTTCGGAATCCAAACACATCCATCATTTTTTAAAATCCCATAGGTGTATTCACTAATTCACTATTTGTTAACTCATCTGTTGGCCTTCTAGCATCACATCACCAGAGCTCTGAACACAAATGCAAACTGAATTACCATCCTCAACAACCGAGTAGCATCCAGCCACAACAAAATTAGTCAATTCACAAAGAAATCATGCCCGGCATTTCTTAATCAACCAAAAGAGTCGACCAAAGTGGACTGTAGCCAGGATTTTGAGAAATTCTCACTTTTTCCCTTCTGGACACATCATAGGAAGGAAGATGGAGACCCTCAGCAGCCTCTTCTCAGTGGTTACTGTAGAAGATGTCTCTTTCCTGAAAAGGGCTTTCATATACTTTCAATGGGGGTCATGCTATCTTTTGGAGTGACCATTTGTCTTTTCTAACTATGAGTGGCTGCCCAAAGAATAGTTCCACTGAAGGAGAGTTTCTGTATTTTTCTAGCTCCAGCTAAGCTATTTTATTTTCTCATGGAAAGTCAAGAATTTTTAATGACTTTTGTCATTTTGGAACATCTTTCAGAGTCAAAATTTTGTTCTGTCATCAAGAAAGATTGGCCCCCTTTCACAGTGCTCTTATTAGCCTCCTCTGGGCCTGTATTAATTCTGTGGAATAGAAAGAAGAAATCTGCTTATTAATGTTATAAAGTCAAACATATGGGTTTCCAAGTTCATGATGCTTCAAAAGTTATCAGAAACATTTGTAAAACCAGAATGGACTTTAGGCTAAGTATCCCCGAGGTCAATGAACTATTGAAAACTGTCAAGAGATCTTATGAAATAATAATAACTCATTACCAGCCATTATCGTTGTGTGAAGATGATTCTTGGACTCTGATGGTTGAAACCACCATGAAAGCCAATCCTGGGCTTCTCGCCTCTTGGTTGCTGTTTTGGGAGTTGTACCACTAGAGCTCCTCAAAGCTGTTGTAACCATAATTGAATTGATGGTTGAAAGGTTAATTATCAGTTCCTAAGAAATAGCACTGTATATGCTCCTACTCTTTTACTACTCCAGAGAGTCATCTATACTGAGTATAGATGGTGGGAAGAAGCAGAAAAAGCACAGAAGTTCCACTTATTTTCAAGGCTCATACTGCAGGTCATAGAATATCAGAAATGGAAGGACCTTAAATATTATCTGGTTCATGATCCTTATCTTAAAGAGGAAAAAAACTTGCTGGATGGAATGTGCCTTGTCTGGAGTCAGAAAGGCCGAATGACAGAGTGTATGACGGCAGTCTTTCATTTTTGAAAAACTATAGCATAGTAGAGGGATTAAATTTTTGTCTGGCTCCCAAAAGGTCAAACCAGGACATGTGGTGATAATTGCAGGGGGACAAATATTCTTCCAAGTGTTGGTTTTAAAAGGTTATATTCTAAACTATCCAACAACAAACTTCCTCATAAAGTATCGTATTCCCCACCATCAGAAAGATCACTTAGTAGGAAAACTGTGTAGATCACATGATTAGAAGTATTGATTGAGTGGGGCACCTGAGTGGCTCAATGACTGAGCATCTGCCTTCGGTTCAGGTTGTGACCCCTGGGTCCCAGGAGCAAGTCCCACATGGGGCTCCCTGCGGGGACCCTGCTTCTCCCTCTGCCTATGTCTCTGCCTCTCTCTCATGTTTCTAATAAATAAATAAATAAATAAATAAATAAATAAATAAATAAAATCTTTTTTTTTAAAGTGCTGATTGAGCTAGACTATTGAAGATCCTCTCCAAATCTGAGAGTCTATGATTCTGAAACCAAGCTCTCCAGAGTCCTCGTCTTTCATGTTCTACGCACTTTATCTTGGCCAACCAATATCATTCTCCAAGGATTTAGGGTATGATATTTCTGCCAGCAATCCCAGACATGTAATCCCAGCAATCCCCAACACGCAGAAGAATGCCACATGAAAGGGAAGATGGAAAAAGATGCCTTCCACCTCTTTCCATTTCATGTCCAGATCCTCCAGCAATTTTGCCCATGGTCACTTTTTTATACCAATGCTATACTTTGCAAAGCAGAACAGGACATTCGTAGTCCATTTTTGAAAAGAAGGAAATAAACTAGGAAAGATGGACAGAAATTAAGTGACCCAATGATCTCACTAATAGGATCAGAAGTAAGAGTCCTGGTTTGAAAACTTCCCCAGACTGCCATTTCTGCCACCATAATGCACACCAGAAGAGTATTACATAGTAGATTAAAAAAAAAAAAAACTAAAAAAAAAGTTGAAGCAGAGAGGCTGAAACCATCATGAAATCCCCAAATACAAAAAAGTCACACGTCAAGAAAGCCCAGAAATGGCCCAAAACGAAGCACTGGCAAGAAGAGTTTTCCCTTCACAATGTTTGTTCTATGAAGACAAACATTGTAAACATTTAACATTTGAAAATAGCATATTCTTTTTTCTGCAGCCGTCTCCCACGTGACCTTTATCACCACGATACGCGATCACAACAAAACATCAGCACTCTTTTCCTTACATGAATATATGTTAAAATAAAAAATATACTCTATTCAATGTGTTATAAACTAAGCCAGTGCTAAGGGCCATTTTTATTACTCCCCTTCTGCAGAAAGAATGCCCAATTATTTTGAAATATGGCCATATCCTCCCACAACCAAAGTTGATAAATGAAGATATGCTTGTAATCTCCCATTGTAATAGACCTGGAACCTCCTCCTGCATGAGCTCTCAGTTCAGAATTCTTTGCAGGGATTTAGAGTTACTACTCAAACATCCAGGGAGCCTAGATTCTGATGGAAAACAACAAGTCACTCGTCCACTTTACAACTGAGGATTTCAGTATCCAAACAAGTGCACAGGGCCTACACTTTCCATCCGTAAGTCCGCATTTCCTTCTATTATTATTGACTGTGATCATTAGATCAGCAGAAGGTAGGAGTCTGCATTTTCCTTCACAGACTTCCTTCAAGAGGGTATATTCTGAATGGATCTCCTAATTGAAGCTTCTGAAGGAAAACTAATTTTGATTCTCTGTGCATGTTGCCAAAGGGAAAACAAGTAGAACGTAGTATCCAGTTGTATTCCCAGATCCACAGGCCTCTTTGATAAAAGAAAGGGTACCAGATCCTGATTCCCTAAAGATGGAGAAGGGACATCAGTGTGAGACTTCAACATGACAATGGATGTCCTTCTCCTTGACGTTGAAACACCTGGATGCAGGACAATGGATAAGCAGAATACATAAGAGTTTACCTGTTGTTGCTGTTGCCGTGTAATCCTGAGTCTTAGGCTGTGAGTTACCAAACCAGGACCACATCCAATTATTTTGCTCCTGAACTGCTGCATGGCTGTTTGAGTGCACAGCTGAAGTAACTGGATCAATTACGAAAATACCATTTAGTGAGATCTTTTCCTTTATTCTCAGTTCTATGTATATATAATGTCTACACCTATAATAGAGTGAAGATTAGAAAAGAAAGATCGAGCTCTGGTTTTATCATCCCAGTCTCCTAAAGTCTCTTGGAATCTCAGAACAACATGAGAAATGCAAATTTTGAAATGTCTGAATTCAGGGCTACTCATTCTTCAAACGGAACCCTCTGTATACAGGCTAAGAGCAAAATCAAGTAGGAACTTAACAACTTGTGAAGGAAAAGAGATTTTATATCTACTTGATGGAGCGACCCGGCCATGAAGTGAAGGTCTTTGATACAGCATTACATAAAGTTGTTGTCCTTCATTTATTTTGGGGGTGTCTTTAGAGGTGCTTGCTTGTATCTTTTGGGTCTATCACTTTATGCAGGTAGCTTATGATGACAACTGGCATTTCCAAAGCTCCACCCACACTCATTAACTTCAAGCCAAGCTTTATGCTAGAGCAGGAACTTGGCAAAGGGTGTGTGTTCAAAATGTTGAAAGCAGATAAAGTTTTGTCAAGTTTCCATCTATCACTTTCTGTCATTGTAATTCTAATTCAAAATGTGTTTCCAGAAAGGAAACAAAACTGCCCAAGTTAGAGAAATTCTGGACTCTATTCAAATTAGAGAAAGGATAATCAGTGATATTTTGCAATTTGGAATCTCCCATTTGACTCTCAAGTAGGACTTGAGTCCAGAATGTTTCCCGGTAGAAGAATAGCAAAGATGGTCAAAATAAACATCTAAACCAGATGAGATTTTTAAAAGCCATTTTGAGTTATACACCCCTTTGAAAATCTGATATAAGTTATGACTTCTGTCCTCAAAAAAAGTGATCTGACACATACACATTCTCAACATTTTATATATTCTTTCAGGCTCCTGAATGCCTTATGGCCTATTATTGAACCTGTTGGAGGGCCATGAATTCCAGGTTAAAAGCTTTGACTCTATATACACCAAACACCAGCAACCTGTGCAACATGTTCCATGCTACAAAGGACACATTTGCACAGAACAGAGAGTAGAGAGATGGGAGCCAATTTCACCAATGATGCTCCCAGATAACCCTGAGCATCCCCCTGAGGCACCCCATTCTGCCCTCAGAAATTTTATTAAAGATGCAGAGCTCCTGCCACCTTTACCCGATAGGAGACTGAGAAGAGACCAATGGGAAGGAAAGATACAAGAGCAAGATAGAAATAGAAATTGTTTCTATTTTCCCAAAAGGAGTCATATAAGATTTGGGGAAAGTGGAAAGAGCTATTGTCTAGCCAGCAGAGTTTCCAGTTTTCCCCACCCAAGTAGGCCACACCAGACCAAAAATATATATTTATATATTTATTTGACACCCAGAAGATAAGGAAATAGAACATTCTAAGGTAGGAGTCTGCTTCCTGAATTAGTTTAGACTTCTGGATTCCAGAGAATTCCAGATCACCAATAGAAAAGAGGCTGACGACATGCCTCCAGGAAGGCTCTTCCAAGAATAACATTTATAATAAAAAGCCTGCTGGAAGTCAAAACCTACCCAGATGGTTGTTTTTTCTGGCTTTCCCTATTGCCACCCACTAAGGACCCTTAAGGAAGGAATGAGCCCACCAACCTAAAGACACACTTCTCTGTCCTCGGCCAGACCCCCTCTTGTCCTCTTGCATGTATTAGGGAGGATCTACAGTCACTCCCTCCCACCAAGACCCACCTTTCAGTCCAATAGTCATGAAGCTTTGGGAGTCTTCTTACTGGGCTCAGAAAATGGGGTCTATTCAGGAACTTACCAGTGGTGACTTTTTCTAATATGCCATGGGCTACTTTCAAGTTTCCATGCAATTTTTTTTTCTTGGACATTCTTCTTTGTATGAATTGATTTATTGAGCTGCCATTGGCCATTTTTGACGCTATGGCCCTTCAATGACTCTCAGGCTAGCCCTGGACTCACTTTGTTGGACCAATGAGTCTCTCTCTTCCTGAACTACTAAGAGAAACTTAGCTAAGCACTCTGAAAAGAGGAAAGCACAATTCTTTTCTCAACCCAAATCCTGAACTCTGTTTAGTTAAATCTCAAAGCATTCCTTCTCCTTGATTTCTGAACAGTAGATGGGCTCCACAATGGAGAGTCCAAGTCTGAATCAGTAACTAGGGCAACATTTAGCACAGAGAAGGCCTCAAATATTGGTTTATATTTGGCAAATATTGGTTACTAGCTAATGAATCCTTATTTCCCTTCGGTATGACTTTCTAATGGTACTTAACCACTGGATCCCAAGCATCAGAATAGGCTTGGTACATAGTAGGTCCTCAAATTAGGTTTGCTGACTACTTAACTTGGGCAGGAAATGTGCAATCCTTAGGAGATGTGCTATGACTGTTCATAACATGTCCTTGTTGCCTTTCTAAAGCACATGTGCAATACTCATTATTTTACATAGGCTAATAATGGCTTAAATGTTAATTTCACCTGGTTCCTAAAAGATATTTTGCCATGATTTTCTTCTTTGGTGGGAAATAGTACTTTAGTGTAGACTTGATCTGCCTCTCACTGAGACCACTAATTATTATGTTTGCCAACGTCTGACAAAATTGCATGCCCTGATGATGGGCACCTACCACATGGTAACATTAGCAAGGCAGGGAACTCAAGAAGCAGCCAGCAGCCAGCAGCACTGCCTGCTTGGCTTCCCGAAGCTCCTCTCAAGAAGGGTCGTCATGGGACAATAGACAACGAGGTGACACAACTTCAGAGAGCCAGTAATCTGGGAAAGCAGGAGCAGTTTGAATACGTCTGCTTCCTGACAATGCTTCAGAGGATCTGCAGAGAACCATTTGTCCCGCCCCCACAGCAAGCTGCTAAGAGAAATCTGAAACACTGGTGAGCAAGTCACCTTGTGTTAAATCGTAGTGCTCTGAAGATTGCCCTAGCTTCTGGGTGACAAGGCATAGAAAAGAGCCCTATCTTGAGCATTCACAAACCCGTGAATGTCCACCACACTCTCTGGAGCCCGGAGTTCCACCCCTCAAGAACCATAGTCAGAACAAAAGAAAATCCACAGCGTACTAGGAAAGCTGCTCAAGAGGCAGATGCCCACTTCAGTTTGAATAATCCTCCACAGAAGGAACACAGCCAATCTGGAAACCTGTTTTAAAACAAACCATAGGGAAAAAGCAGAGAGGGAAGCAAAGGAGGCAAGAGGGAGATGCAAACACTTTCCAGTGAAAGTGGAGCACGAAGGGGAAAACCCCAAATAAATCTAACGCAATGTTTACATATTTCCACTCTCGCAGTCCTAAAGTAATGAATTATCCACGTAACCAAGCAAGTATTAATAGCCTTCCCCTACAGGCTGGGATAGACAACTTTTAAGTAGATTTAATTTGATCAGTTAACGCCATCAGATATGCTTCCTTAGACCAAAAAAAAAAAAAAAAGAGAGAGAGAGAGAGAGAGAATTTTTTAGTAAATCATGGGTGCTGAATATGACGGAATATTGTACCATCGATAATATAACATAAATCAAGTTAAAACAGAAAAGTATAAAGTTGAACAAAGCCAATGGAATGGCTTGCATACACTGTAAACCCAACTTTATGAAGACAATCTTATCCAAAGGTGGATAAGAACAAGAAGGAAACATGTAAAAGTAAAAATAGCTTCTGTATCATGCTTGAATCGTCACCACATCCCTGGGACAAGAGAAGAAATATTGTTGTATGAAGCTTCCAGTACAGCACTCCTTATTCCGAGGTAAGCAAAACAGTGGAGTAGATGGGGAAAAAAATCATGGGACAGTAGCAGGCAAGACATACAGGGCACTGACAATCACCATAGCCCACCTCCCCAAATGCCGTCCCCAACTTCTAGACACAGGAGACAATCAACACACAAGGGAATGCATATCACCCAGGAAGATCAGAGACATTTTTTGTAAACAAATTGCCATTGGAAAGCACAGTGACCCATTCTCCTTACTGGTAATGGGGGTATGCTCTGAGTTGCTAGACACCCTGGGACTGTCTTGGTCCTGGGTCGGGTATGCAGTTGGAAGGTGGGTGTGGAAGATGTTGTAGCCTGCCGAAGTGCTCCTTTCACTGGAGGATCCACTGCTCACATCATCGTCAGTGGGGTTGCTGGGGTTGATGTCTTCAGGGTTGGTTCTGTATTCACCCTTCTGGCTGTAGCGGGTGCCATCACGGTTAACGATGGCTGGGAGAAAGAGGAGACACTCAGAACTTGACAGCAGACATTTTCTGGGTGTTAGGAAAGACTGTGGATTATCAGGTGAGACAGTGACTTCAAAGCTCTTCTTCTTTGTTATTAAGCAAAACAACACCTAACTAAGAAAATCTACAGCCCCCCAGCCTACCCATGCACCCTGGAAATGGGGAGGGGGAACAAGGAGGTGTTTGGAAGTTCCCGTGTTTGAATCCCGGCTTCGTGTGCCCCTAGACAAAACCGATGCTGAGCTTCCCATTTGTAAAATGGGGATGCCACTAACCTTTGGCTCCGAGCACTGTATGATACATGGTATATAAAGTGCTTAGCATGGGATTCAAAATTTAGCTGGTCTCAATAAATGATAGCTCTCCCAGTGGTTCCTATCCTCCCTTTTCAAGGACGTGTAAAATCTGTTGCTATTAATTCCATCTACTTCTAGAAAGGATGTGAAGTAGGCGACGAAGAGGTCAGTAGTCTCAACAGGGAATAGATGTCTGCAAATCCATGAAGAATGAGGCTTTCTTTCTAAGGTGCAAATTGTGTCCGTCTAAGTGAACCCCTGCTCTGGCTAAGAAATCAGCGGGCCTAAATGCTGGACACAGCCTCTGCCCATCCTCTGTGAGATTCAACCTTGAAATTAAGAGGCACGGATGCATATAAAGATCAAAATCTTTGATTCAAACAAGCAAATGCCTAGAATGCACAGGAGAAGGAAAAGCAAGAATGAATTTGTTCATTGTTCCTCCCCAAAAGGATTTGCTGCCTTCAAGTCTGGGCCACTCACTGCACAAGTGGGGATTTAGCTAAAATTATTTTCTGCTATATTGCACTAGACTAAATGTGCCTTTCGTCCACCTGGCTTGTCCAAGTGGAACTATTAGCAAAACATAAATTAAAAAATATAGCAAGGGCGCCTGGGTGGCTCAGTCAGGTAAGCAGCCAACTCTTATTTCAGCACAGGGAGTGATCTCAAGGTCATGAGATGGAGCCTCCTATGGGCTCTGTGGTTAGTTGGTGGGGGCTACTTGAGATTCTCTCCCTTTGCCCCTCCCCTCACTCGCTCACTCCTTCTCTAAAGTAAATAAATAAATCTTTAAAAAAATATTGCAAAATCTCAAACACCCTGATAATCTCTGCAGATTAAGATGTGATAAGAAAATAGGACCAAACTCATACAGGTCTGGACTTTGAAAGGCATTTGGTGGGGACCAAGGAAATGGGACATTTGTTGAAGATGAATATGGGGCTGGCATGCATCAGACATTGACCTTTCTTCCTCTTCATTTCAAATCTCACCTGTTGTTCCATTATCCAGATGAGAAAACTGAGGCTCGGAGAGAGTAAGTCAATCCTTTGAGATCACCCAGGTGGTAAGGAACTAGGATTTCAAACTGAGCCTGACTGAGACAGCACATCTCCCCTTCCACGAGGCACAGGTCAGGGACAATTTTTTACCTAACAGTGGGGGGCTGGATTTGCATGGCCAGGTCGATTCTCATCCCTCTGCCACCCACCACCACTGTTCCCTTGCACACTGAGGGGTCTGGCCCTTAGGAGGCAGAAGTCAGGCCTCCTCAACACTGACACTTTTCCAAAAAAGTGAGGTTCAGAGACCATAAGATCAGGGTTAATAAGTTGACCTCTGAAAATTTTGGTTGGGCTTTTCTGTTTTCGTACAGTGTCAGTGTTATCTTGGGATAATAACCAAGATATGGTTATATGACTTTGCGGTATAAATAATGTTGAAATCCCTACCAGGAATTATATGCCCCTTATAATTATCTTTCAGCATGCAATTAAGTCAAACAGAAAATTTAGGGGGCTGGAATGGGTCTCTCCCTAATACGTATAATTCCCCCTCGAGGAGAGAGAACATGGCTGACACTCAGAACCTTCAGCAGCTAGAATTAAAAAGACTATTTAATTTGTCCTAAATTTAAGTGTATTTTTAAGGATACTGTTTGGTTATGACCAGTGGTTTGGTTGTTCACTTGCAGGAATTTGTTTATTCATTATTTTATTTTTTAAAGATTTATTTATTTGAGAGAGAGAGAGAGCATGAGCAGGAGGGGCTGAGGGAGAGGACGAGGGAGAGACAATTTCAAGCAGACTCAACCCTGAGCATGGAGCTGGATGCAAGGCTTCATCTCAGGACCCTGAGATCGTGACCTGAGCTGAAATCAAGAGTCGGACACTCAACTGACTCAGCCACCCAGGCGCCCCTGCAGGTTTTTTTTTTTATAAACGTATTTTAAGTAGAAAAGAATGGGCTAATTAAGTGAAAAATATCAAGTAGATAATTGCACTGGGTACACAGATGTGCCAAAAAAAGTGAAAGTGGTTTCCAAATGACTGCGGTTTGAGGAACAATGTGTTGGGGTCAACCAAATGGTAGTTTCAAGCCACTGCAGGGAAAGGGGAAGGGGGCAGTGAATCACAGGCAATGTCCCTTGCCTTGGGGAAATGGTTGTTCTTCTCTTCAAATAGGAAACACAGAAAACGCGCCTAAACCCTTTCCCAAGAATGCGGTCACTTAATCAAGGTCAGAAGAGATACATACTTATGGTAATTGGTCCATCAAAGGCATTGGGCAGGTGTGTGACCGATGTACAATCTTCTTCAGGTGGAGCTATGGAGTAGCAAAAAGAAAAAGCATGAGAACTCTAAAAAATAGGAGCAGAACTGATACCCATTTCTAGTAGTTAGGATGGGGTTTTATTAAAATTTATCCCACATAATTCTTTTTTGACTATTGAAATATGGTTGACACACAGTGTGACATTAGTTCTAGGCATACAACATGGTGATTTGAAAAGTCTACATATTACTCAGTGCTCACCACAATATGTGTAGTCACCATCTGTCACCTTACAGCATTATTACGATATTACTGACTCTATTCCCTGTGCTGTACTTTTCATCTCCATGACTTATTTATTTTATAACTGGAAGTTTGTGCCTCTTAGTCTTCTCTATCTATTTCAGCCAACCCCCCATCCTACTCTCCTCTGGCAACCATTAGTTTGTTCTCTGTATTTATGAGTTTGTTGCTGTTTGTTTGTTCATTTGTCTTTTAGATTCCACATATAAGTGCACAAAATGATCTTTCTTTTTATGAAACTTGATTGAGCCTCCTAGGAACTTCTCTGACCCTTGCAATACATTTTTCACTTTTATTTACCTTCATATGTTTTTGGAAGCTTACTTGTTCCCCTTCCTACCCTAACAGATCCATTTATTAACAAATGCATAGAAATGTTCTCTGTCGGGCTTTGGGGAAGGCTGGAGATACAATGGGAAATAAGATAGACATGGATCTTTTCTAATGAGGCATACATTAGAATTACTTTTTAAGTCTGTTATTATAAAAGGAATGTGGGAACACTGTAAAGACATTTTTCAACAAAGAAGTGCATGAACTATAATAAGAAAATCATGTGTAATCCCAATACTATACAGAAATGATAGAAACACATGACAAATATAATCAAATGTTTATCAACATGAACAGCATGTGAATATGAAGACTCAAATAATCACCAAGAATTTACTTACTAGAAATACTCCACAGCAAACTAATCTTTAGAGTCTTTATTAAGGCACTGATGTGTTCATTAATTTAGCTAAGCTCCGTAAGTGCCTACTCTGTCTAGACAGCTTCTCAACATAGAGTTACTGAGGTTGCCCATCATTGGTCCAGATGCCCAGACTATTTCTTGGGACAACTGTGTTGGCATATATCACCATGGAAACCTCTGGCTTCTTTTCCTTGTGTCCTCCATGTATCCCCTACTTTCCTCCTTCTTCAGAAATAAAGATTTCTGACTGTACCTTAGGCCTTCCTGATCACCTGGAGACATTACTAAGAAGCCCTCTAAGAACATTGTGTAAAGCCTTCTGAAGACAGACCCTGAAGGTTCCACCCTGCAAACCACCCTTGAATCCTAAGAGAAGATGGAGAATGCCTTAACCAACCATTCCAAAAGCTCTATTTGGTAACTAGACCTTGTATTGAGCTCTAAAAACTCAGAGAGCTTTAAACTGGCTGTGCTGTTGCAGGAAGTATGGATCCATTTGCATATTACAGCTTTTATACTATGTGTGTGTGTACACGTGCACTCATGTGCATGCACACATACGTCTGTGCACAAAATGGCAATTTATTTGTTAGGTTGGTTTCTCTCAGAGTTGCTTCTTGGCAAAGAGAAAGGAAGAAAGGGATGGATGGATGGATGGATGGATGGATGGATGGATGCAGGTAGGCAGACTGCTATCACAAGGAAGGCTGTTACCACAAATATTTTTAACTGTTCAGCCATAAATTGCTAGGTAATCATGACATTGGACAGAAACAGAAGTTGAACAAAACAAGATCTGGGTGCTTGGCAGTTCCTAGAAGCATCTTTTCTTACAGGTAAAGGGTACCTGCCTATTTCTTTGGCCTCATAGTGAAACTAACTGGAAGCCTTATACATTCATCTAGAGAAAAGCACATTTTACAAAAAGCCATTTTTGCAAAGGCTAATTAAAAGATCTCCCAGAAGAGAGTCTCAGAGAAAGTCATGTCCTCAGTAAGGCCTTCCCTCACCGTCCAATCTCAAGACCCCCTTAACCAATCCCCCACATATATCACCATCACACATTTGCTTACAGTTCTTCTGGCTTAATGCTGTCTCAAATTCTCTTGTTCATTTTACTTGATGGCTGTTCATGACACATCTCCCAACCCCTAACCTCTGCTACCCACCCAGCTCCAAAGAACTACATAAATTGAGTAGTGATGTGTAGTGACCTTATCTATCTCAGCCAGTACATTTATGTGTGACGGGTTCAGAGAGGCAGGCACTCGATAAATATTTGTTGAATGAATGAAAGAGGAAGTACCATTATAATTCCCATAGGTTCATTCTTCTGGGAATCATACCTAAGATGTTAACCCCTCCAAATCATCTGCAGTGATAAACATGTCAAGAAATGTTTAGATAAACCCTGACTGGCAGTGCCATAAGAAATATGTTTTAAAGGGTTCAGATATATCAGTTCATTTATTCATCTTGAGCATTACTCATGTGACAGATTTTTTTTAAAAAAGGAGCAAAGAGATGAACATGTTCCTTTCTTTGCTTTTGAAAGCACAAGTCACGGTGCTTTGAAAGCACAAGGTCACGGGTGACAATAACAACTAATATTCCTTTAGATTTTTGCAGTTTTCAAAAAAAAAGATCTCCCAATGATTTCCTTATTTGAAAATCAGGGAAAATAGCCACCCTGGGAGATCTTGATGAGTATCATCCCGTGTGTTTGGGTAACACCACCAGAAATGAGAAGCTTCTGATACTGTTATGTTGCACAGACCCAGGGAGAGGCCTTGGGTTATGACTTTTTAATGGCAGGGTTGGAACAACCTCCCCCAAATTCAGGCAATAGTAGTGCACTGGGAAGGAGTTTCTAAGGGGTAGGTTGTGATATAATGGGGCATGGTGTAAAAACACACTACGGCAGTTTTGGAAATCGTTGGAACATTTGTTCAAATGGAGCCTCCTCATGCTCCAGTTCACCTTAACTTTTATAAAGAACACCAAATCAGGCAAGCGCACCGCAATGAATGGTGACCCAAATGTGCAATTAATACATTCACGCTCCCATGTCAGATAGCAGGGCCTCACTGGCAGTCTTTTACTCTGTTTAATGAGCACTGCACAGCTGGGAGAATGGGGCCTGGTGAGCTTTTCCTGAACCTACGGGGTTGTTAGAAAGACTCTGGGTGGGCTTCCTGGTGGGCTGCAACTCCAAACTGTGCCTCGACTGTACCAAACTAGCCAAGAGAAATGTTAATTATTCAGTCTAGCCAATTACTCAGTGCCCGATAGGAAGACCTCTTCCTCAATGCCTGATACAGTCTAGGTGTCCAATAAATATTTGTTGAGTAAATGAGCAAACGAATAGATAAATGAATGTAGCCTCTTCTCCTCGATTCCTCCTTCAAAAGAGAATGAGGCAGTTTACCAGAGGCAAACTTCAAAGATGCACGAATTCAAGCCAGTTCACTGGGCTATTAACACAGAGGTCACCAGGCTCGGGCTGGGCCTCACTGAGACATGAGGCAATCAAAATCAAAACCATGGACCTTTCTAGGGGCTACCTTATTTTCATCTGTGAACCACGGGCAAACATGTTTTATAAAAATGCTGCTGAAACTGTAAGCACACGGAAGTCTTCTGCTAAGATTGAGCTGGCTTTGGTCCCTATAGACCAAGAGGGTTTGTAGGGGGTCACATCACTGGGCCTTGACCATCTGTCTGCAACTCTCACGCTAAGCTGGACTCAAGGATCTTTCCAATGAGATTCTCTGCATGGAACAGAAGATTCATAGCATATGAATCGACATATCAAGATCCATGGTTCACTCCGCGCCTCTATCATCTGACTCTAAACCAAGACATTTCAAATTTATTATTTTTTTATTTTGAAGACATCTTCTCCAGCTTCTTTATTTATTTATTTTTTGTTTGTTTCATCATTTCAACAAGATTACCTCTCAAGACAAGAAATAAAGCTGCTGGTTCTTTCTCACCCTACTTGCCCAGCAGGGTGCTGACTGCATAGAGTTGATCCATAAACACTCTTTTTAAAACTTGAAGAAAAACTTATAAAAGCAGCCAATCCACATTACATTGGGATAGAAGAAAAGGAAAAATCTTCTCCTTAAACTTTACTACTTTCATATGGCCATTCTGGTGTGAATACACCAGCTGCACTTCTCCCTCTTTTCAGCTGGATTAACACCTCCCCCACCAAGGAGAGTTCACTTCCTTCTCTAAGGCCGGACCTAACCTTACAGGCAAAAATGAGGGGCAGGGAGAGAAGTCTCCATAGTAACTTGTCCATGTGGCTGCCAATCCCTGTGTGAGCTTCTACCTTTTGGAGTTAAGATTCTTTCTAGCAAGCGATACTAACCTGTAAAATAGGTGAGACAATGTGAATACGCAGCAATGTAACTTATGGCCTACGTACAGTGGACAAGGTCCAGTGGGAGAAGAAATAGGCAGCACCCCGAGACTCCCGAGTATGCAGTCGCATGCTAGCCCTGTCCCACATGACCAGCCCTTTCATCCGACACACAAAGTCTTTCTTCCCAAAGTCCTCCTCTGACCTCTGGCACTAAGAGAAGCCACCTAGACCATGTCTTTCTGTGTCTACTTCTCCTTTGCCGGCATGTGGTTTTGCTCATCATCGTGTCCTTAGAACAGGCATTCTGGGTATGGGTATGGGAACTGGGTATGGGCCGTGTACCGTTTAGCCTCATTGGGATGCTCCTCTCTTTGGTTAAACTCCTTCTGCATTCCTTGTTCAGATGCCAGGGAAGAAGAAATACTCTACAGTTCTCTTCTCCTTGTCTTGCATGCCCCCTCCCAAGGTTTAGTGACTTGCATATATTTGACTTACATATATTTGTCTTGGCCTCACACCCATTTCAACTAATCAGCCCTGAAACTTTCTCTTTCTCTGAATCTCCAGATTCCTCTTCTGAATGCCCACTTGGATCCCTACTGCTCACGCTGCAGCAGGTGGTCAGCAAAGTCGAAAGCTACTGATGGAATCTCACGATTGCTTGGGTGCTTCTACTTGCACTGAAAAATCCATGCAGGTTTTACATTCGTTTATGATATCTGTGTTTGTCTCCTGCAAACAATGCCTGAGGTCATCACTGGAGAATATCCGCGTTTGTCTCACGCATCGTCTTTAACCACTTTCCAGCTAACTGAACACCCTCCTTCCCGTCTTTAAGTAAAACTGATGTGCCAGGAAGATGTGTCAGGTTTACCCCATGGGTCCATCTTCCCTTCGCACAATCTCAGACCTCCCTGAGCAACAGAAGGCCCAGTTTGAGAAGTAATCCATCCATATTTGATTGTGGCCAAAGATTTGACACCTGTGTTTCTGACCCTTCCCAGAAGACCCAGAAGATACATAATGACTAGAATTCTTGAATCTTGCTAGACCCTGAGTTAGACTTAGAAGCATGAGCTCCTAAGCCACTGTTTGGAAGCAAATGCCATAGACGGGGAGAGGGGCCTGGCCAGCAGCCTGGCACACACATCCTAAGTTGGCTTTCTTGTTGTCTAGGTGTCAGGTTCTCAGATGTTGGGAAAGGAAATTTGAGAAGGTCAAAGGCCTACTGGGTATCCTTCCAGCTTTCTCTCCAGCCCCAACATAAAATAAATGCCTCTAAGCTAAGCCATTTGGTGTGTACCCCAATGCTACCATTAGGTTCATGTCACTTCCCTACTCAGACCCCCGCAATGACTTCCCATCACACTGAGAATAAAAACTACGCTCTCTACCATAAGACACTATGTGTGCGCTGGCCCCTGCTTACCTCTCTGACTTCATCACTTGGCATTCTACCTTCTGATTGCTGGCCTTTATCATCTCGGGCCCCTCAGTGTTCTCAGAACAATGAGACCCCAAGACTGCCCCATGCCTGGCTTTGCACGCTGATGTCAGTTGGGGCTCTCTCAAGGGCACCTCCTCGCAGGCACCTTCTCAGAGAAATGCTTCTCTAGCACTCTGAAGCCTCTTCCTCTCTTTTTTATAGCACTCGTCACTCTATGACTTCATATTATCTGTTTCCTGTCAGCCTCCCTGCCTAGCGAGTAAGCATCCTGGACATAGGAATCTTGTCTCTGCTGTGGAGGTATCCAATGAGCATCTGTTATATGAATGGAAGCTATGTGAATCCCCACTTAAGCCAAGACTCAACTGCTGTCAGCCATGTCGCCAAAGGCTTGTGCGCCCAAGGCAACCCCAAAAACAAAGACAATTCACTTGGAACCAACCTGAAGCATTGAAGCAATACGTGTCGTACTGGGAGGTGTTGGATATGAGGATGTACACCCCTGTGTGGTTTGCAGCACAAATAGCATTGGGTTGGATACGGGGGATCACCACATGTCCTTCTATGAACCCGTACCTGCGAAAGAAAAGCGAGAAGTTATCCACCTGCAAGGTTGTGATGGGGATTTCATAACATTTGAGCCATCAAATGACGTCTCAAACCATGCACTGCTTCATTCAATTCACCACTGGGGATCTTAGAGGGTTTGACAACTGGGTTACATGAAATCCAGAAACAACAACAGAGAGAGAAGGAAGAGGATCAACAAGGCTGAGACAAGGTGATTTTATTTAGAGCTCTATAAAGAGCTTGAAAAGAAAAAAAAAGATTTATGAAAGAAAAAAAACTGGTTTTTTAAAAAGTTTTATTTAAGTAATCTCTACACCCAATGTGGGGCTCGAACTCATGGCCCTGAGATCAAGGGTCGCTTGCTCATCCGACTGAGCCACCAGCCGCTCCAAAAGAAAATACTGG